GGGGGGGGTGGGGGTGGGGGTGGGAGAAAGCCTAAAAGATTGTGCAAGAAAGCCAAAACGAATATTTTCGTTGTACTGGTGAGAAGCTAGCCAACTTTCGCTTGCAGTGCTGCATTCCCACTCACCCACTGGATGTGCACGGCCACTTATCACCACCTACGGAGTCCAGAAAGGCTGGTGAGCTTTATGTCTTCTCCTTTCTTCTTCGATTTTATATTACTGTAGCTTAAAGGCCAACTCAACTTATAAAGCGATATAATTTATATTTGTGACAGTAGTGACAAGTCCGTGATCTATCACCTGCGAAAATAGCAAAGACACTCTGACAACTATTGTACATAGTGCATTCAAATAATAAACCAAGTAACATATCAGGTAGTTGATCGACGAGAAAGTAAGTATAAAGTAACTTGGATAACGCCTAAAACCCAGTAACAAAAGGCAAAATAAATAACCATAATAACTCACTTTGGATATTTCAACAACGGGTCGGTGCAGTCCATACACCAAAACGACAGCTTAGAGAAACGCTCCGATGAGGCCAGCCAGGAGAGATTATCCGCATTCGGAAGATAAATCGCACCCCGTTTCTTCACTTCACTCAGTGCAACCTCACTGTCAACCACAAAATCGAGCTTATTGAGGTATCTAAATGAAGAAAGATCAAGTGAGGGTTTATTACCAAAGAAATCAAGAATTGTGCCATTAAATAGATAGGGCTGAAATGGATAAGAGCCAGTGATTGTTGATCCCATCAATAAAACCGTAAGTCTAACCTTAAGGAAATTTGAGCAAAATCAATGATGTTGAGGCTACCAGCTTTATGGGGTACTTGGAGAAAAAGAAGCAATGTTGCCTCACCATTTTCCAGATATCTACAACGCGCACAGGTCGGACAAATCGCCAAAATGCCATCCGCAAAGTCGACAATAAACTCAGTGGGGGCAATCTTGAAGTGGCTGTTCTAGGCTAAGTGGTAAAAATTTGATACTACATCGAACAGATTTCTCAACTCTTTTTCCTAATTAAATCCCTATAAGATTGCTCCCGTTTAAATGAACACTAAATTTATAAATAAACAATTATGTCAGGAGTAACAAACAAACTTACTGAAACACAAGAAGGAACATTATATCCTCACAGTTGAGATTAAGGATTGTTCGAAAGAGAGAGAGTGTGACCATTCCGAGCTGAAAGTAAAGCAGAGACGTTAATTTTAGGCACATAGGGACTTGATTTTCCAGCTTGTACAAAGACGCGGCAAAAGTCTATCATTTTCAGAAAAAGTAATGCAGTGAGTGCATGCTAACACTGACGACGACAGCAAAACGGACACGGAGTGAATACCTTTTTGCTAAAAAATATCTGCTAAGACAACAAAGATAGGTGCAAGCCCAACTCACTTCATAGTTTTCATCCCCTGGACCCTGGAAGCAAAGCATTCACTTCACATATGTGGAAAGTTGACCAAGTGAGGTCAAACATAGAGCAGAAATTAAATAAGTAACAATGCTACAGAAATGACTTACAGTTGAATTGAAGGAGAGTCGGGAGATGAGAGAAGATAAAACAGATTCATCTTCATCCGTGGAAGCAACTATAAACCGGAGAAAGAGACCAATAAGAGAAGGCTCGGTTAATCGGCGAAGAAAGAGTTCAAGGTAGGCTTCAGCTGCAGTCACTTCCTCCAATGACTGCTAATGTAAGGGAAAAGGAGAACACGAAATAAGTGGAAGAGAAACCGAATTTTAGAGTGTTTTATTAAGATGGTGGAAGGATACTTACCTGATTCAAAGCGGAACGAAGAACTGACATTAGAAAGCCGGAGTAGATGTAGTAAAGCAGGTATTGGCGAACGGATTGATGGGAAATCTGTGGAAGAACACAAATATATTAACAAATAAATCGAAACAAATCTCTGAAGTTATTGCAACAAAATTGAATAACGCTAGATAATAGAAATGTGAAGACGTGCTTAACTGGCAACATTCCGTAAAACGTGAAATCAAAGCCGACAAAGGCACACTTTAGACGCACGCTATAAGTTTACTTTAAACGATCTGAATAAATAAAGAGAACATGATGTAAAATATAAGAGGTACCTTTGACCTCAAAGTTAAAAATGACTACCACAAATGGAATGACTGTATTTTAGTGAATCTTCATTCCAAACCGCCTATCAGAGAACCTTAATACATTCAAGTGTAAAGGTAAGATGTGGGTAATGAAGAGATAAAAAACGCCAATGGGTTAAATGGGATTAAAATCATGATAAAATGTTGCACTAAATACCTTAATTGTGCTAACACATCAGTTCAATAGGCCAAATAATTGAAATACAAGAATTACGCAAAATTATTCATAGATAGGAAAAGGGAGGTAGGGATTAATAGATGAACACTCATTTATGGGAAATGAATGCAAGTACCCGAACAGCGAGGTTGCAGAAATCGAGAGTTTGTAGGAATTGAACAAGGACCTCACATTCGAACCATTCTGGACGAGTGATACGATGCCAACCTTTGCCGCGGACGTGAAGTGCATCGGCTCCTCCGCTTTCATCTCGCGCACTCCTACCACCCACACCGTTAAGGACCAAGCGCTTTGGAAGACACGAGTAGTAACCACTCAATCCTGTGGCCAAAACCTAAACAGTGAAATCGGAGAACAATACGAAGGAAACAAGTGTGTTTTTAAGTATTGCCAAATGCCGGACTCAACTAAAAGGTTGCGCAATATCTAGAAATTATATGTGGGCCTTGGTCTTAATTACACTGTGAATGAATGAGAAATTAAAAGACACCTGCGGAACCATAAATAAAACTCCCTTAGTTCTCAAGTGGTGGTGACTTCACAGAAGTAAAATTTACACCCCGCCCCGACCCAAATCAATCTGTTATGTTTTTGCAAAAAAGGTGGAAATCAAACAACTAAGACTAAATGAAATTAATACAAAAAAGGATATGATGAACAAAGATTGCTTTGACTGAAGTAAAAAATATCTGTGAAAATATGCTCGAAGTACGTTTTCGATAGAGGCCAGAATAAAGCAAAGAGCAAATTACAAGGAGAACAGAAACTCACGAAGACGCAGGGGAATGTTTTCAACCCTTTTTGTTATGTGAATACCCTATATGAAATAAATTAACATAAATTACTAAATTCTATAGAGAAACGGAGGGAGGGGGGGGGGGGGGGGGGGGGGGAGGCAGTGGAAACGAAAACTGACAAATTAGAGCAGATACTGTCCTTAGCTGTTTTCGGCTTCGGATCTAAATCTCCTCTTTCAGTTGGAACTTATGTCGACTAAGAAAAGCTCATGCTTTCCAGCAGTAAAATGTTCGGAAGTCTAGTGTAGTATTGAACAAACCACTAGTCATAACTTTTCACTAGTTAAGAATCACCTTTGGAACCAAAGCGCAGTTGGAAATTCGGCCAGATCTGTTTAGATATAAAACTAGCACATACTGCACTGGTTGGGAAAGTTTTAAAGGCATTAACTGCAAGGAAAGAATGAAAATAATTTACAATGAGGTTTGAGTTAAAGGGTTCTGTTTATAAGAGCATATTTTACATTCGTTAGAAAAGACAGCAATTTGAAAAATATTTTTGAAAGTATAAAATATGATTAATATATAATAATATAATAATTATAAAGTATAATAATAGAAATTACCTATGATAAACCTAATGATTGATAATGCTGGTGAGAATATTGAATGCCCAACACTTAACACAACGTTTTATGATATAATAAATGAAAAGCCAATAAACTTGAATGATGACTCTGTACGCATTAAAAAAAAATTCTTTTAAGAATTTTAAAAAGGAATTCTCGTTTCCTTCCATGAAGCCACAGTGATATTCAAGGGTTCCAATAAAACAAAGCCAAATACACAATGTCAAATCGAGTTTATCAATCAACAAAATCTGCGACATTGCTTACACTCATGAACAAATGCACACACGTTCGTTTCCAACAATTTGATAACTCGAAAAACTAGTGACTTTCAATTTAAAAGGCTCAATAGCATAAAGCATATAAATTTTGCTAATACAAGATTTTAACACCAATTAAGCAGGCAATCTTAAACTTGAGTGGCTAATATAAGAACCATATTACGTAAAAATGTGAGAAACCTCGAAAACTAATCTATAATTGAAAAACTCATAGCAGGTAACAAAATTGAATTTTCAAGAAAAAATCTATTATAATATCATAGCTTGAAATAAACAAATTAAAAGGGTAAAAAGATGAAAACAAAAATGGCATTCATGCAGTGACAAAATTGACATATCGGAACTTACAGGACAAATATCAGATTTGCATGTGAGGTAATTAGCAACTTCGGTATCCCGATCCGAAAGTTGTAAAATGAGCAAAAGTGCATCCCTAGCTTTAGATCCAGGAGAACCAGGAAGATGAAGAAGTGGAACGAGAGAGGAGAATATGAAATATTCATTACGAGTAACATCGTGCGAGACCTAAATAAAAATAAATGTAGTGATTCAAGAGATTACATGCAATAGCTAAAACAATAAAGCGTACTTGCTTAGAGAACTCTAATAAGATAGGATCTCTACATAAGAAGACGGAAAGGGTGTAAAGAAGGCGGCTCAGACTGTCCAGAAAAACATCTGCCAAATCATGGCATGCGTCTATCGATTTTAGGATGGGTTGAAATATGACATTAGAAAATAGAAGGCTCTGCTTCGCTTGGCTAATTAGGAAATCAAAGTTCAACAGTAAATGACGGATAATAAGGTGATTGGTTTCTTGCGGACATTCAAGGGCAGTACACCATGAAACTAGCTTCGATAAAAAATCTGACTCAATCAGTTTAGTAGCCAATGGACCAAGAGGAAGATTATCACAAACTGATTCACCTTATAAAATAAAAACAAAAAAAGAATTATAAAGGGGACGTTGAAGATAATACAGTTTTCACCCAATAAAACTAACTGTCAGCATTTGCTCCGTCGGCAAGGGGTTTTTCATTAACAAAGCACTTGAATAAGTTTTCAACTTCATTGAACGTGTCCTCTACATTTTTTAGGTCAAATTTTCTTAACGAAATTCGTGTCAAGCAGGATTTTAGCCTGCTATCGAATATATCCTCAACCTCTGACATACGAGACCTAAACGATTCATAAATGCCGCTGCGGATTTAATTATGTCAAAGTCGTATGCGAATTGGAATGGAATTATTAATAGAAAGTAGACTTAATGTTTAAAATGATTTATTTATAATAACACTTTTGTTAAATGTCAGTTAAACGTCTAATATGTAAACTCTTATATTTATTAATAATTTCTTATTTAAATAAAAAAATATAAAAAGAAAAACTGTTTTGTGATAGATATTACGAAAATATATTTCAATACACAAGTAAGTCCTTCAATCATTGATCAATTCCCATTCAAATATTTTTTTCAAGCATCGGTACATTTTAATTAAATACATATAATGGAAGAACCTAGACTTCGAATAGGTTCTCAAGTTGTTGTAACGGGAAAAGGTGTTGAAGGTACCGTTGCATATATCGGTACGACTCAATTTTCTGCAGGTAATAACTTTTTCCTTAATATTCGTGCTAGGAAAATGGATTGGCTTGGTATTAAAGGAACCCGTTGGGAAAAACAACGGAACTGTTCAAGGGAAGCGATATTTCAATTGTGAGGAAAATTATGGGTTATTCGTGAGGCCGAGTCAGGTTAGTTTTATTATTTATTATCGAGCTTCAGTGAACTTTGAAGGGATTAATTAGGTTTTCCTTTTCCCATTTATTTCTGGTTTCTTTTATATGAACCTTTAAGCACTATTTATGTATCCCATCCATATTTTTTTAATTATAAATTCAAGTTGTCCCTCCTGGGTCCTGATGGCCTCATTTCCCTCATGAACACTTCGATTTCTTCCGCTACTTCTGAAGTTGGTTCGTCCCGAATGTCAGCGTCTAGAGGTTAGCGTTTGTTTCTTTTTTCTTTTCTGCTAAATTTATTTCCAATCATAAATTAGTTTTATTTGATGAGTAGTTGATGGCTTACGCAAACCAGGTCAGATGAGTAAGCCATCGATTTCGAAAGCGGATACTAAAAATAATCAGCCTATTGGTTATTCGAGAAGAAAAGATTCCTCTCTTACTCGATGTATGTTTAAGTAACGAAGTTTGATTTTGACTCCTAACAGCTTAATGAATTACTAACTTATGCCGAACTTATTGTAAATATCTATTTTAGTTCCTCTTTTCTCATTATTTATTCATGCCTTTAATTACAGCTCAGCATAAACCTCCTTCATCAAATAGTAGTAGGACGAGTCTTTCTTCCTCTACTACTAAACTAAATCGCTCTAGTATTGCAATAAGTCAAGGTCAGTTTTTGGGCACCTCTAACCATTCCACAATAACCCCACTCATTTTTGGTCGATTGATTGGTTGATGTATTGCATAATTTTTATCCGGCATCTAGCTCCTGTTTTGCATTTTTGTAGATGATCTTGCGAAATCAGATATTTCGGGTAGAATGTCCACGTCTCAAACTAGCGCATCCACAAAACCACCGGTAATTCGAGTTTGGATTTACTTAACTTACCGATTTTAAAGGCATCTAGTGCTTCACCAAGTGTCACCAAACCACCAAGTCGAACTTCCTCGACTAGTGCTTTTGCTGCAGATTCGAGTTCGGATCGTCGAACTTCGACAGCGATTCCTCGTCCTAAAGAACTTGTTAAGGATCCTGCTCCTACAACAGTTATTTCAACTTCTCAACCCGAAATTTCTGAACCATCCACAACTTCGGCACCAGATGTAGTAGAGCAGATTGAGCAAGTTCCATCTGACGTTCGAATAGAACTGGAAAACCTTCGATCTGAAGTGAAAGATCTAACTGAGAAACTTGAAGTGCTGAAGTCAAAGAGGGTTGAAGATAGAGGTAAATTGAAGGAGGCTGAAACGTTGAAGGTCCAGTTAGCCCAGTTAGAGGAGAATCGAAAGTTAATGCAGGAAAAGTCGTTTGATTTGCAACGGCAACTTGCGCAAGCTAATAGCGTACGTTTCTCTCAACTTGATTACCTTTTTCTTTAAGTAAAACTTGAGAGTTTTTTGTTCAATCTATGAAGGAGAAAGCGGAGATCCAGGCTGCTTTTGACCGTTTCAAGGAAGAAATGGGTGACACCATGGATGTTGTTGAGATGGCCACTCTGGACAAGGAGATGGCTGAGGAGAAACTTGAGACTGCCAATTTGGAGATTGAGAACTTGAAGGAGAAGATTGAGGAGTTGACCCTGGAAAACCAGATTATGAAAGAAGAGCAGGCTACTACGCGTATGTTTCTATTCACTTGCTAGGGTTTCGTGGAAAACTCTTGTTCATATAGCCACTTTATGTTCTTGAATTATCGTCTTACTAATCCTTCAATATATAGATATAGATATACGTGTTGGTTTGTATATTTACACTGTGTTTCCGTACTCCTTCTTTCCGCAGTTTCTGTGTTGGATATTCAGTCAAAATATAGTATGTATTAACGAATATCTACTTTTTAGCCTATTTCCACTCACTCATAATGGCCGCTTGTGTAATTTTCACCTCAGCGAATGCGTCGTAGTAAAATTTGTGTAAAGGATGTGTAGAATCAGTCCGTAGAATTGGGTATTGTTAGTTTCCTTTAGCGCCTTTTATTATAAGTGGAAAAACGTCACTTTTCAATTTACTAATAGCATAGTTGAACATTCAACACGTACCAGACCAGTGTAATTTATCGTTAATGTGTATTGCGTGCACTTTTAAGTTATTCCCATCAGACAGTAGTATGCCCATAAGAATGAAATTAACTCGATCGAGTTTATTCAACTTACATGTGTTACTAATTAATATTCTCGAGTATTTCTTTGACTATCACTGTCTTTTTTGCTGTTTCCCTCTAATTTCTTTTTGCATTTTCCAACTCATTAGAAGTTCTAATATTAAGCTAATGCTTTTAAGTCTCCTCCGTGACGTTTCACCATGGAATTATTCCAGTGGTAGCTGATGTCTATTTAAATCAATTGTCAGTAATGGCAATTTGCCTTTAGAGGTGGTTGGCCATACTATTGTGACAACGATACAGCTTTTAGAACGCATAAGGAAATTTGGCCTTAGAGAGTACCAGATAATTTTTTGAATAGTCAATCAGTAGCTAACATACTAGTCTACCTCCAGGAAGACTCCATGATAATCACCTAATTTGAATGTTTGATTGTACTTTCTTAAATGGATTTAAACGTAATCTAATTGTGTGTGTGTATGTGTTTTAGCCCTTGCTTCGGGAGATGGAGAAGAGAACTCTGCAGTTCCAACGCTGGCGCAATGGAGGCAACTTGAACAGCAAAATGAGCGTATGAAAGTGGGCTTGGTGACATTCCGTGATCTGGTTAATCAAAATAAGCAGGAAATTGCAGCACTCACTAAGGAGGTAAATCTTTACTCCAGTGTTTAACGTAGACACTCTCTATTAAGAATCAGTATGCAGGATTTGTGAATTGCATAATTAGGCTCTCGTTGAGTAATTCGATTGGTAATATGCTTTTGACCTTGCCAGTCTCATTTCTGTTAAACCTCGCTATGAAATTGTAAAAAAAAGTAGTTGATATCATGTAAACAAGTATCATCCTGGATTATCATGCAAATTTGTGTCTTTGGTTGTCCACTACTTGATGAATAGTTAGTTTGTTTTAGAGATCCGACTTGTCGCAAAATTAGAATGTGACTGCATTGTCTTGCCTTGGAGCTCACTTGAATTTATTCAAGTCTTAACCTAATTTTTCAATGAGGCTATGAAGAGTATGCCATTAGCTAGAAGAAACCCCGCTTCGTTCACGGACTCTTTCTGAATATAAAAAGGTCCAAATGCGTAATTAAAAAAATTCAATAAGTAATTTCACCTTTGCTTGTTCGGAATGGTGTATCATTGGTTGAGTTGATAGACAAATCGCGAAATGCCTCCTCGACTTGGTGTATTTCTATAGCTCCTTATTATACTTTTTAACCCCGGATTTCAAGGTAACAACTCTGCAAACGGAAGTGTCTCGCTTGAACGCAGAAAAGACTCGCCTAAGCGAAGACTTGAAGCAATCTGTTGAGCACACTATCGAACTCAAGGAACAAGTAGATGCTGCTCTTGGTGCCGATAAGGTGGTCAGCGTTCTCACCCAAAAGAACCTTGAGCTGGAGGAGGCTGTTGAAAAACTCACAGAGGAAAGAAATTGCCTGGTACGTGTCCTCCTTTGGAGTCCACCCAATTCTCCTCTCTTATTTTTGGTCTTCATGCAAACGATGAATATTGAAGTTCACAATTGACGCTTCTTTCCACCATAGGGTGTTACTCAAAGAGTTTGAACAGTTAAAAATGATGGAATCTTTGTAGCTATGGCGAGGGTTGGTTTCCCATAGCTCTGGTAGACAGGCTATTTATTGAAATGTTGATCTTCTAAAGCATTTTGTTCCCCAAAATTTAAAGCAGGTTACAGGAGCTTATCGGTTCGAGAAACGATTGTAATTGTAATGAGTGTCACTTTAAAGTTATTAATTCGAAGCTGCTCTCTCAAGTTGGAGTTTGTTGTTGTTGTTGTTGTTGTAATTTTATAAATCCGAGCTAACTGTCTAGTTCTCTTAAATTATTTCCATCTTCTTTGGTTTTGCAAACTATTGTTGTCAGGAGATAGAGAACACAGCGCTTAGGGAAGGGAACAAGGAGGCATCCGCCACAAGGCTGTTTGGGTGAAAGATGGGTTTTCATTATAATTTTTAAGAATGAATGGAAAGTATGAGAATTTTTACTTGGCCTTTATTGCTGATACCGAGGAAGGGGAAATGGAATAATCTGTAGCTCTGACAGTGATTTCCTTTATTAAGAAGATAATTTTATTAATTCTGATCTGGAAAATGATTGGTCGCCTTGTTAGTAAATTATTACACTAACAGCGTAATTGCACATCTAGACGCAATGTAAAAAAACAATGATCAATAATATAGCTTACTAATGATGGAGCTTGTGAATTTTTGTTTCAACTCCCAAGTTGATGCTAAACCAAAACTTTGCGCTTTCATAAATGAGAAAGCAACGTTTTGCAAAGCCTTATAGTGATTATACAAAAAATTCAAATTTGTTTTCTACCTTCAATTATATTTGAGTATTTGCTTAGTACTCGCGTTTGGTTTTTCTTCTTTTTCAATATTGCGCCTAATTTTTTTACAACCCTACTAATACGGGTTTTGATCGCGTAATAACCTGCTAACTACTTCTTTCATCACATTTTTCTTAGCGTGTGGTATGGACTCTGTTTTATTTGCATGAGTAAAGGCGATAGTGGGCTTGCTGAGAAGTACGCAACTTAAGAATTGTGGGAAGTGAAGTAACATAACATTAATAAGACTAGCTCAGATGAAATGGTATTGGGTGTTTAAGATGTATGAAAATGGAAACAATGACCTAGGAGCATGGCCACAATCTTTCATTTCGATAGAGGAAATATTGCCTACTGTCCTTGCATGGTTCGTCCCCCCCCCCAATCCCATTTTTTTATCTACTCTCCTCGTAGTTACGTGTGGTCGTTTGGTTTAAATTTGTTTCGAACTTACTTCCAACATGTTTGTTGCTTATGGAATCAAATAGGAGTCTTGCTAATCTCGTCTACCTAATTTTACGGCTTCTACAGAAATTGTGATGTGAAAAAGAATAGGACAGTGAATCTGGACGCATCGAGCAATCAACATAGAGAAAGGAGTTTTTCAACCCTTTATTAACCAGCTCTAATCAGTGCGGTGAACATTTCTTGTCATTGAGTCCGTCGTCTCTGACTTCGCAGACAAGCACGTTAAACGCTGCTCTACTTTCATCCTAAATTTATATCTGCTGAAAGTACCATGTCTTCAATGCAAACGCCTGTATATAACAATCTCTTATTTTTATTGTTCTAGGAAGCACTTTGTGAAACGAATGATGAGCTCCTTGAAGGTGAACATGATCGTCAGTTGGAATTAGCGGATCAGTTGGATCTTGCCATGGGACACCAACGTGAATTGCTCCGTCAACTTGAAGCGAGTCGCGAAACTGTAGCTGATTACGAGCAGACCATTTCGAAATTTCGTGAAGTGGTCACCCAATTGCAGACTCAGAACACTCAACTCAATCAGTCCCTGGCTAATGCACTTCGCTCCGCATCTTCAGCTAATCTTGCTGCTATGGCAGCGGATCAATCGGCCACTCAAGCCGAGGCCTCTGCTCTCATTCTAGGCAATCCTGTTGGAAGACAAGTGGAGGCTCAAACTGTTGCTAAGGCAAGTGTCTTTTGCTATCCAAATAACCGCTTATTTCGATATTTATGATCTCTAGAAATTAATTTGATGTTGCTTCATTTGTATATCTGTATTGCTCCCCTCCCCTCCCTCCCCCCAGTTACTTCATGAATTTAAATTACGCTCAGCTTTTGGCGGTAAAGCTTTGGCCATGCTATTTAAAATGAACTCAGCCTCGTAAAATTGCTTATGCGCTTTTGAATGGGGGGAATTAATTCCCTTATACCTTTAACTATTTACAATTCCGCATTGTTGTTAAAATGGGCGAAAATTATAATGGGGATAATGCCGAGGCTCACTGACTGAATTTAGCGTTATTGGAGGCTTCTAAGGGTAGAACAGTGCTGGCCTAGTGACAATTAAATTCTCCGACATTTCTTACATTGCCGAAAGTAAAAGTTGACGGGGGTCTCTCAGCAATCGGTGGATTTATCGCAATTGTTTGAGCTGTTTCACAGTTTATCAGCAGTAGTTCGAGCTCTGTCCGCTAAATCTGAAGGTTCTACTTACTTGGACCTTTGTGTTACATTAATTTCCTCCGATCATTCGCCTCATTCTATTAGTCCTTTGCATCTTTGAATTTTCTTTCTCTAGCCGTCTAAAATATCAACAGCTCTATCCGAGTTCATTTATGACCTTGCCAAGCCATCTGATAAACTCCGTTACTGAAAAGTTGTGCAGGTCATTTAAGTGCTTTTTGTCTTGAATTTCTCTCTCTTCAAGGCCCACTTCAATTGTTTTTAAAAATTCTAATCGAACATGATGAGAATCTCTTTATGACTGCTGGCTTTGCAAGTCTCCTTCGTAGTAGATTTAGCCTTTGTAACTTAACGAAGGAACAGTTTAAATGTCTTATTTTCATCTCTGTATTTTGGACAAATCCTTATTTACCAACAAAAATCCCTTTATTGAAACAATTGCAACAAACTCCAATCTTGACACTGCAATAAATGGTCGTTGGTGGGGCTATCCCTGAAATTTTTTACTTTACAATTTATTGTTATTTATAAAATTAGCATACTCATTTATCGGTGCCAAATGGTAGGTTCGTTGCCTTGTGTAGTTTTGAAGTAAGGCCAACCTTTAAACATTTTAATGATAGCTGAAATCTTGGGGTCTTTTGAGGGCTGGTATAATTTCCGAGAGATGGCAATGACCTTCTGGTGCTGTTCGATGATCATTTGACTCTGTTTACTCACCATGATTCATTGAGATTTAGTAAGAAAGTTGTCGGTATTGCGGTGTTGAACAGTTGCGAAGGTGAGTATTTGGAGTATGGCTTTATTTAATCAACTTGATCGGTGTGTCATAGTGAGGCGAAGCTGTATATGTAGATCTACTGGAATTGGATGAATTTGATTTTGAGAGCAGGTAGCTCCCGAACACGTCTTAGGCAGACAAAGTAAAGCTTGAATTTTGCTATCTCAGTGGTAGGTGGGTTTAGGCCGTGTGTTTGGTCACTCCGCTCACTGCTGCCACTGTCAAGCTAAGTTACACGATTGGCGACTCATTTCTTTTTTTAAAATCTGAGTATTCCATCCCGTCATTGCTTAATTTTGACGATTAGTTGACAATTTCAATAGATCTCCGCTCTTATAATAGTCTTCACTTTATTTTTACTCCCTTTACATGCATTTCAAGTGTTTTGACGGATATTTCCCCTCTCTTTAGCTCACTGTATGGGACTGGGGATAATTTATTTTAATGCCGTATCACAAAAAGGCTATTTGTTATTTCTTGAACTTTTTTTATTATATGAATGATTTTTTTGCTTTCTTGGGTCCCTCATTTTATCTCTCACATGTGACTCATTTGATTCAAATCTTATGCATGAATTATCATGGTTGATCCTTACATTCGCATAATTGAAAGTTGTAGATTATGTTTGCTTGTTGCTTTGGTAACAATGCTCCCTTCTTTTTTAACTAAGGCGACGGCTTTGTTCCTCGAGCACTTAATTCTAACTTCATTTCTCAAATGTTTTCTTTAATCGTCTATAGCGCGCAAGCGAGAAAGCTATTTCAGTAAGTAGTAGTTATTACCCCAATTTTATTTTTCTATAAGTAGTTTAAATTCCCCAATTCTCAATCTCATTTTTTAAATCGTTACAGTCCTGTTTTTCACCTTTCACTGTTTTATCCTTTGTTTTCTCCCTAGTTTTTGTTTGTCAAGTTTTATCTGGTCTCTTGTAGTTGATTGAGATGGAACTGCGCAAATTGGATGCTGAACAGGGTATCAGACATGTGAAATGGATTTCCGCTTTCTTGCCGGAGGAATTTAGTCGTCCGGCCGGAGATAATGACGCTATTCTCACTCTTTTGTTGGTCGACCGTCTCATCTTCAAATGCGAACTTCTTTCCACTCAGGTACATCTGAACATTTTTTTTATCTAAATTGATCTCTAAAAGTATGCTGAATATGGTGCTTACTACAGTCAGTTCATTTGTTTAAGGAATGAATTGAGCGAACATAGTACTTTTCGTGTTCTAGCTCATTGAAGAGAGAGAGAGAGAGCAACCTGTGGGACTTTGCAGTTGCTTATTTCGCAACTTGACATTTTTAATGCTTGGTTATATGCATACAAGCATTTCCATTGGTTTTGTTGAGAAAGCACACATCTGTCAGCGTAAATATTTAGAAGTGGTTACATTGACATTTTGAAATTCACGTGTCTGCTTTATTCAATACGATTAAAGGGGTTTCATGTCACCGCCTGAAGATCAAAAGTAGAGAGCGTAATTAGGCTTCTGCAGTACCCTGTAGCTATAGTACTTTTAAAGAAGAGGTTATAAAGATATAAATTCGACTGTAAATGCTGTATTCAGGGGTGGGGTGCCTGTGGTGAACTAATCTCTGAAGTGGAAACCACTGAGTATAATCTATTAGGCAATTAAAATTACAAAGATTCAGAGAACCCCTCAGAAGTGGTACATTTTGACTAAATCCCATCTTAATACTTTCTATCATTTGCAATAGCTTCGACAGACAAGCAATATCATTTTGGCACCATTGAAGTCAATCATGCATAAAGTAAGATTATCAAGTGACTTGCCATTGAATACATGGGTATTGAATTTTGATTCAATTCTGGTTATTTATAAGTATAAAGCAATAGCTATCATTATTACTTGTCAATTACAACGTACTTGGGAAATTTTTCACCCTTCCCCTCCCCCCCCCCCCCCCCCACCCCCTCGAAGTTAGCAGTTCGCAATTACTCCGCGTCAAGTGCCAACAGGCCTACCTCACTTAACGACAATGCAAGGCTTGCGTAGGTTATGGACAATTCGATATTTCAATTGCTCCTGGCTACTTACCAATAAACTGTTGAGCATTTGATTGCAATTTCCGCAACTCTGTTGGGCGATGGGCAGATAGTGGGTTGGCTTTTAGGGTTAAAGTCTAGTTGAGTTGAGTAGGCCTCGAGCACCCCCTAAATGGGATAATGCAAACATTTTTCAATTCTAGTATATCATGAGTAGGTAAAATAGCAATATTGTTTGAGTGGCGGAAACTCAGCATATGCTGTGACTTCTATTTTTTGTTCAATATATTCATGGTTTTTTCTTGTTGATTTGTGCAGGTGAGAAAACGCTACCCACTTCCCAGCTGTATTCGTGGTTTGGGTACTCAGAATGGTTTTCAGTCACCTCTACCGACAGAGTCTGCGCCTGTGAAATTTACAGCCGGCGGAGATGAAATGGACGAGATTGATGTCTTTAAGACCAAAGCTGAGATGGCAAATTTTACTTCATTCCTTATTCTTCTGCTCAACTATTGGCAGGGTCTGCTGCAACAACTCAAGAGGTAAATTCAATTTACACATTTATGGCCTGCATTGGTTGATTTATTTACGACACGCTTATTTTCGTTCTCCTTGTGCGAGGTGTAAAATGCTAATTTAATGCAGCGGGCGTGCTCTTGCTACCTCCTGCAAGATTATCTCTAAAAATGGCTCTTTAGCTAACGACGTAGTCTATCAAACTTGCTCAGTTTAGGTGTGAACTCCCTCAATGGGATAAACTCCAACCACATAGGGGTCTTTTACTACCATACTTTGGACTTGCCTGTCTTCAATATTTCACATCTCATGAATATCAGGAAAGGGCGTTTTGTGGACGAGGCGATCGTGACTGCAATTGTAAATCATTAGTTTCTAAACTGAAACCCAATTCGTCTTCATCCTTCCCGGCAAACATAATATCGCGAGTCATATACTTCATGTCCTAATCGTACTTTATTTAAGCTGACTACGTACGAGGGTGAATCGAAAACTTCTCAGACAAATGCAATATTTTTAAATAAAACAAAAATTGACGAGTTTTTGCTAGTTCGAACTTGTCTTTAGAGCTTCCATAATAATGTACAACTGTTTGATCATTCTATGTAAGGTCAAGGAACAAGACAGGATTCTACGTCATATAGAGCAATCATTTAACTTTACCAACTGTGGTAAAGATGGAAGCAAATGAGGATAATGTTTTTCCTAGCACCGTGTTACTAGAGATGGAACCTGGATCAAGTGTGGCATAAAAATGAAATACCTTGGTCTGTCAAGGTCAAAGCTGAAGTGTCCGTTAAAACGGTCAGAAGGTTAAGGACAGAAAACGGTCAACTCAAGTTATTACTAAGGCGTTTTGAAGAAGTCGAAGACATTCCTTAGTGAGAAACTGAACAATCAATTTTTTCATTATGAAAATGCCCTCGCTCATTCTTCAAAAGCTGCCATGGCCGTGTTGTGCTAATTTCTCTGGGAAACACTTTCACATCCTCCTTTCAGTCCCAACATATCTCCCTCAGATTTTTTGTTTCCAAAACTGAAAGAGCACCTTAAAGCCATTCAGTTTACGTCTTTAGATGAAGCGGAAAAGTGTGCAATTTCATGGTGCCTGAGACAGCTTCCAAAATGCAGCCACGAGGGAATTTACATTGGTTCATATGTTGATAAATGAATGCAATCACGTGGTAAATGGAGCTTGTTGACTCACTCTCGCGAAACTAAGCTAACATTAGGACATTATACCAACGAATCGGTTTGGACAGAGTAACGTCTTGAATCCTAGAAGGACGCACAGGAGTATATTGTTGGCAGAATTTCTCACCATATAGGATAATAATACAACTTTGCTTAACTTATAGAACAACTGTATTTCTTTGCTTGAGTAACAAAAGATAGGTGCAGGTGTGGTTCAACTCTTATGCATTCTATTTTTGTAGATCTTCTAGCTTATCCCAACGTTATTTTGTTTCTTAAATTCTTAAATAATTCTAATTGTATCCCGAAAATGACTAATGTGTCTTATATCTAATTTTAGCTTATGACGTTGGTACGAAAAAATCGTAATCTAAATTTCAAATTTTCTTAAAAATAAATCAAATATTTTTTTTATTTCCCTTCTGTGTTTCTTCTCTCTAGTGTCCTCTCATCCTGCCACGTGAAACATTTCTCCAAGTTGGTCGCCCTCTATAGCGATTTCTCTTACGGTCACGAGGGCATCCTGGACAGTCTTCTCGATCTCTTTAAACGAGATCAACTTGATGACGCTGTTTCTCTGGAAAAACTCATCTCCTCCATCCAATTCTTTGTCAATGTCCACAGGGTTCATGTTGTCCCCGTGATCCAGTCCCCTTCTGAAATTATGAACTCTACTGAAATCATGTCTGCTTTTGCTCGAACTGTCCTTGCAGCTTCCGAAGTTATAACTGTCGATGCATCTTGCTTGGCTGCCTTCATTGGTCAGTCGTTGGATATTGTGGATCCAAAGAGTGAAATCAGTGGAGATGGTATTTTGGGCAAGCTACTCTCCCATCTCGGTCGCCTGGCAGCTTCGATTCGCTCGCAGGCGCGTTCTATTCGTAGAAGGCTTCCTACCAACAGTGAAGCTCAGCCTCTTTCCATCCCAGTCAGTTTATCTTCTTCACTCGACTCCGCTCTGCATAAACTCTTCATCTGTACTTTATGCCTGTATTCCACGGCTAAGAACACCGGGCAAATGGTAGCCACGCAAATGGCAGAGCATTCTGCTTTAGATGCTAGTGCTGTGCTTAGGGACTGTTTGGCTCCAGTGGTGCAGGCGACTCTGTCTGAAGCTGATGTTCCTCTTGGCGGAAATATTTCACCTGATCAGGCTCTGTCTTCTCTGCTTGAAGGTGTTGCTTCTCAGGTTTCTGCCACAGCTACCGCGATGGAGCATGGAGAATATGACTTTGATGGATCGAAGCAACCGAAGGTATGAGCCCATTTCCCCCATCTTTGCCATTTTATTATTAAAATTGTGCAAATCTGTACCAAGAAGTATTTAGGAGTGAAATGGTGAGAGGAATGGAGCATCTTCCTATAGCGGTCGCTACCTGAAGATGAGAGTGCTCTTACATAGAATTTCATTTGCCTCTATTGCCTATGTATTTACATGTGCTCCAATATTAAGTAACGTTGTTACTAGCATAGTTTACTTTCAATTTTTCAGTGACAATTATCCTAATGGCATATAGTGCATTTAATAAAACTGACCATTTCACGTCCTTTGTTCGCTTGGATAAGCAAGCCATAGAATTTCACCTCGTAATTGGGGCAACGCGGTGTTATGATACATTAGGCTCTGGAAATGTGACTAGTTAGCTTTTACATGTTTGTAGTATAGTATAATGCATAGTGTCTGTTATGTTATAGCGCGCTTTTGTTTCACTTAAATTTAGGCCCAAGAGCCAATCCTCCAGCGGGCACTTGCCTTCAGAAATGCCCAATCGGAATTGGAAAGCTACAAGGGGAAATTGGAATTGAAGGACGTTGAAGTTCTAGAGTTGCGTCGTGAGCTCAAGGCGAGGATGGATGATATTTCCGAAATGACTGTCCGCGTAAATATGGCCGAGAAGAAGCTGGAGACATCGGGTCGAGGTAACTTGGAGAAAATTGCCGATTTGGAAGACCGTCTACAGAAGATGAAGAGCCAACGAGAGCAGACTGAAAAGTAAGTAACATCAAATTAACAATCTGCTAATTGTTATTTACCAGTATAACGTTATCAAAGGTAAGTGAAATTAGATCCGTGAAATAATTCAATTTTACTCTTTTGCTACTCGAGGTAGATGAGTAGGCGCTGTTTTTTTTCCTCCAAAGCGACATTTTAAGAAGTCCGTTGAGGACTAAATTCTGTTACTTGGCCTTTTATCAACTCTTTTCATTCGAGTTCTTGTCAGACATAAAATCTGAGGGATTAAGCTCCTGCCGATAGTGTCAGAGCGAGCATTCATATTCAGTTGGTGTCTTTGCGCTTCAGTGTGTTTATTCAAATTCCCTTTGGAGACAGATGTCGACATTATTGGAACTTTTAGCAAGCCAAGAACTTAACTTTGAATTTGTGCAATTTATTTTTTTTCTGTTTCTTTTTCCTTCATCTTTGTCTATATGTATACAAAATCTTTATTTAAATATTGTTATTTTAATAATATTTTCCAATGTCTTGTCAGGGAATTTGGACAAGCTATGGACGGAATGCAAAGCGATCTAGCGAAGATGGAGAAAGAGAATACTGAGTTGAGAGAGATGTTACGAAAGTCAGGTGGATTCAACTTTGGGAAACCAATAAGTAAATGCCAACTTGAAAACACTACATAAGATAAATGTACAAGCGAGTTCTCTTTTCTTGGCTTTTCCTTCCTTCTGCAGGTTCTCTGCTGCACTCATCCGGAGACCTGGATTCGGATGGTAGCGGCACACCAATGAGTCCGATGACTCTAGCTTCAAAACTATCAGCGTATCGTGACAACTCTGCTATGTTGAATGAGGTAATATTTTATTTAATAATTAATCTTCTATCCTAAATTTATCTGATTTGTGTCTTTACTTCCTCTTTTCTAGATGGAAGGCCTTCGTGAAACCGTGCGTTATCTTACCTCAGAGGTTACTAAACTTCGCGGTAGGAAGTTCCATGTACTTTTATTTCTACTTTTATCGTTTAAATTCAAATTTCAGTAGTATGTGTATGTACAGTTTTTTTCTCTCGATGATAGGAAGATGTAATGTCGCTGACTCCACTTAATGTGCCTTATTGCAATCAACGGAAACGGCTTGAAGCATTGGCCGACGATGAGGGGAATTCAGAAAAGGAGAATATGAAATTGCCATCATCACTTAGTTTGACAGAAGTTTCTCGTCGAGTTAATGCTGCAGTGAATAATTACTATCACGTCTTAGCCACTACTCGTCTTATTCGGCTGGCGGGTGATGAAAGTCCAGAAGCTCAGATGGCCCGCGAAAAAGAACGCCTCCTACAGGCTAAACGTGGCCTTGAAAAGGTTCTCACCTTGCTTCTTTTCTATCTCATAATCTTGATCGTGTTCAATAACATGTCCTTGATTCTATATCTTAGGCGCAAGATGACCTGCTGAATTACGCTAAACAGAGACCCGGATATGGCATAGTGAAGGCAGATTTAACTACGTTTACATCCAAACGAACTGCCCATAGATTGGGAATGGACGGTGATCGTCAATTACTTGCTCGCATTACGGTTCCAAACAGTGGTATAGAACAAATCAGGGCCAAAAATCGTGCCATTCGAGTTTCCGTCAATCAATTTCGTGACATTGTTAATGCTCTCGTGGCTAATTTAAACTAGTTTTCATCTCATGTCTACTTTCCACTACTACTTTATTCTTCTTTCACAATGACCATTTTCTCTGGAATTTCGAGGGTATTTTCCTTTGGGGTCGGATTTCGCTTCACTAGAATTAATCCCTCTTCTGCGCCTTTTTAATATTTTGCTCACTTTTAATTTCTCGGAGTGGGAAAAAGACTCGAATTAGGAGGAAAATAACTTGCTTATTCAGTGTATACGCTCAGCTTCCTTAATTTTTTTAGTTAATGGCCTACCTTGAATCCTTTTCACTGAGGTGGTAACATTAACATGCTTCGGCTAGTGATACAGTCGTTTGGTTTACTATTTTGGATCTTCGTAGTTGATAGGACGAAGTTTATGAGAGTAAGTCTAGATTGATAGTATGGAGCTTAACTGTACTTGACAAATAGGCCAAGAATATTAGCAAACTAGCTTTTCAGTGGCGATACGTAGAGCAGAGGAGTATATTGGGCTAAATTTAATGTAATAAGCGATCCGAATGCGCGAATAGCTTTATCTTTTTGATGCAATTGTCCATAATAGCATCTCGGAAGCAAAGCCATAACCTCAAATAACCATTCGTTGGTGGCATTATTACTTGAATACAATGGATGAACTCATTCAGTTAATTAAAACTTTGAATAGCTTAACTCCTAGATTCACCATGGGCTTTATGATTAAGGAGAACTATATTTAAGCCAGCACAAAGAACGATCACTTATGCTCATAAACAAAGCATGGTGAAATAAACACTGTTTTAGCTATAAATAAGGTCAAGGAGAAAAAAATCAGAAAAGTAAACGAATGGTTAGATATGCACCGTTAAAACCATCTGTGATAGAAATTGGATTTTATTAAGCCCCTCGAAAAGTATCACGGATTTTAGTAACGATTCTTGCATCATGTGCTGTTGCGAAAATACTAAGATGTTCAAAATGGAACTTTTTTGAACAATTTCGAAAGAGTTGCATAATTTATTTACGTAAGATGTCAATAAATAAAAAAAACAATTCGATGTAATTTCTAGGATGGCTAATAGTATTTCAACAGGAATTTGACACATGCAGATCTATTCATCAAACATGAAGCTTTTAAGATAACCACCAAAAAAGCTAAGTTTAAAATTATTATGCTTACCTAAGGTTTGAGACATTATCGAGTCTAAAATTTTATTATAAATACGCGCGATATTTTATTTTCTTCTTTGACCTTGTGATTTGCAAGATAGTTATCAGGGTGCCGACTATTATATTGTAAGTCTAATTATCAGCGCATTAAACCTTTTACTCGGTTGTTAAAGCCTGTAATTCATTGGGGTGCTTTTCTTTAAAAATGCCTTGGTTAAAATCTCGAAGTATAACAGAAATGCTTTAATGATAGTTTACTTAATTTAAAAATCTTTTAAAATTGCATCTTTAATAAAAATTGACAGGTTCATCATATTTCCTAGATATTATTGTTAGGGTATTAAGGCAATCGTATTTCGCTTTGTGTCCTGCTGTTCGGTTAATTCTTCTTTTACCTAGATATTTTCCGGATGTCAGATTCTGTTGCTCCAAATGAAGTAATAGCAGATGTAAGGTTGATATCTTCCCTTTTATTACGAATCATAGGTTAACTATGATACCATTGAAAACGACGGCCCAGATTTATTTGACGAAACGGAGGATGAAGGAAATGAATTAGAAGAAGACCAATCACCTAAAAGCCCTGCTAAAGTTATCGATCAAAGCATGAGTGATGAGGCCGAAAGCTGTTTAATCTGTTTTGAGCAGTGGACAACATCTGGACCTCATCGAATATGCTGTCTCAAATGCGGTCATCTTTTTGGCAAGAGTTGCATCACAAAGTGGATCATGTCACATCGACCAAAACAGGGAACTTGTCCCCAATGTAACGCCAAAGCTTCCCTCAAAGATCTCCGGATTCTTTACTGCAAAAAGATTAAGGCTATAGATACAACTGACCTTGATCGAGCTCTACAAGATTTGGACACGGAGAGAAAGATGCGAAGAAAAATTGAATCGGAGCTCTCGGAGTACAAATTTAAGCTTCAACTTGCTTGCTCAGATGCTGAAAATTTACGCAATGAGTTGACCAGTCTTAAGGCTGTTTTCTCTACTTCTGAAATTAATCGGCCGTCCTCATGTTCAATACCCCCAAGTAAAAGGTATGTTGTTTTAGTAAAATCGGACAAATATATCTAATCATAGTATGAGATACTATTAGGTCCATCTCGTTATTGTAAACTCAAGTGGAACTTGTTTGATATTGAACACGCAACTATTTGCCTTGTTATGCGATTTATCTTCTATTTGAAAATTCTTTTATGAAAGTGTATATACTCATTTCTCGCGTATTTGGTGGAAAGGTCAACTAGGTTTAATATTTCGAATTAATGTGGTCAGAATGCCAAGTTTATTCGTCCTCACAGACAGTAAGCTTTACTCCGTTCCAAGATGATTTTTTTTCTTTTGACTATAATATGAACACGAGTTAAATTTTCTGGCCAACGATTTGGTCTGCAAGGTATATTGCTTCTAGTTGAGAAAACGATTGTTTCATTTTCTTCTCCTTTTTAAGGCCACTTATAGCTACTACTACTACTACTCTATTAACCTTCACTGCTTAGTATCTGTCTGTGTCTTTTGGTTATCATTTGTGTTTGAAGAAACCTAGACCGGTTTATACTCTGTGTTTCTTTTCTATTTTAGTTTTTTTTGTGCGATTACTTATCTCTAAAATCTAACTTGACGTCCTTATTCAGTTTTTTATGATCTAGGTTTTTTTCATTTCTTTTAAAATAATTGGGTGAATTTTAAGTCTTCCTTTCTGTGTTCCAAATTAGGTTCAAATATTCCTTTACAATATACTCATTTTCCTTGTTCAGAAGCCCAAGAGTTGAGTGATTAGCAAAGATCACAATTAGAAATGTGGAAGATATATATAGATCATACGGAATAAGAGTTTTTACAGTAGTTTCTGTTATGCAAAGGTTAAATTATGATGTACAGCCAATAAAAGGAAAAATAGGATTGTGTAGACCTGTGAGTCGACCTGTATGCTCGATAAAATTCTCTATTCGCTTTTAGAAGTGCTCAAGTGAAAGATACACCCTTTATTCCCTATTTGTTCTCTACTCACCTTATCTTGAGCATTATGAAGCTATAGTCCTAGGGCAGCATTGCTATTCCTGAGTAGATTTTTTCAATTAGGATTGGTGCTATAACTCATGAGTAATAGTAACCCTCTCTGAAGATCTCATTTCCTGCATTTTCAGACCAAAGACAGTAGATTCGACAACCGGATGCTACAATCTTGTTAAATCTATCATAATCTCTCAGGTCAGCTTCATTCCGTATAATTTTTATCACACTTCTAATTCGGAATAAATAATTGTTTGGGAATTAATTCCTCTTCCAGGTCGGTCAATGTCGTGTAATAGCTTCCTACGACTACATCAACCTCCTTTGTATTTCTCAACCCTCCACTAACCCCCTCTTCAAGGGGTTTGGCATCAAAAAAGTCCACTCAGAAGAAGCCCGACAACTCAAGTACATTCATCTGCATTCTCAACCCATTCGAGATTTAGCCTTCCACCCTGAACAGCAAGATGCCATTATTGCCTCGGCTAGCATGGACAAAACTCTCAAACTGACCAGCCTCCTGGTTGATCAGGTACGTTTTTTTTGCACGCTACACTAAGTGTATGTGGAGTTCCGGGGGGGAGGGGGAGAGAGGAGGGGTTTGAGGGTGTTGAGGTGTTAAGCATTTACTTCACTTGATGTGCGTCTACGAGCATTAACCTCTGACACTTGGCATGCCCGCACATTTGCTACTACATCATTCTCGCGCATATTGATCACAAAATTCTGTTTAATATTGTGCCCATTTGCTAGAATTGATTATTTCCTGTCTAAGCAATATCCATTTAACCAGCTAGAAGTCGAAGTTGCTCATCACTGAACTCCAATAGCCTCCATGGCTTACTGTCATTGCTCCTTTTTTAGTAAACACATGTTGAATAGCTTTGTAAGCTACGATATACAGGATGACTATGACGTTACTTCTTGCTTAATTAAATAATTTTAATAGTAATGTGATAGCAGGACATTTAGTATGAATATTTGCTTGAAATTGTGATTATGTAAGCTTTCGGTTTCGGGGCCTTATACTCATCTGGACTACAATTTGAAATTAGTGACCTTGAGTTCTTCATTTTTAGTTATTAAGGATCTTTGCACTCAAGAAGCTAGTTTTGAGCTTTCTATAGTGTCTACACATCGAGTTGTTCTTAAACATTAGGTGCGTGAATATACTTACTGTGTATTAGTCTAGTAGGGCATCTGCATTCCCTTCCCTACCTCATGCGGACTCCATATTTGGCGGCTTTCTATTTTCTTTACCTAATTGGCAGTTCCTTCTAATCGTTAGTCACTATAATAGTGTAAATGCAACTTGAGACTATGATATGTCAGTCATATTCCATTTGGTGCAACCAGCCTAGTTTTTGTTGGCTCCTATCAAATTTGCTGGGTGGAATGAATAAAGACACGAACTTTTTTGTCTCTTTCATTCTTAACTCCCTTTGTTGAATAGTTTTATCGATTGTGGCACTTTTCATTATCTAAGTTGTATTTTTGATATGGATTTTAGAGACCTCTAGATCCTTTATCCACATGCTTTTAGTCGCATGGCATAACATGGAAATTCGGTTAATACCGATGGAGTTTTTTTATAAACTACTGGTTGACTTCCCTGTAATCGGAACATTACACGTGGAATTTTGTTTTAAGGATGATTCTTGGAATTCTTAGAAAACCGGAACTTAGAAACTGGTGTGATATGAATACGCTGAGACCAAATGTGCCTGACCACCAAATATGACCAAAAAATGGAATTTATAAGATAATCTCTCAACTTGATAAATAAAAAGGACACGACTACAGCAAAATTAGCAGACAACTGATGGTACAACAACAATTTATGTATGCGCGTTGATTTGAAATTTTTTAGAAAATGTCCCTTAGTAAGGTCAAATAATTACTCATTAAAGTCCCTGGCTCACCTTTTTAATAGTAGCATAAATCATGCCCACTTCTATATGCTTCCCTATCTTGCATTGAATTCGGAGGGGTTTCTTATTTGTCAACACATTTTAAACTTCCCCCTCTCTCTCTCCCACGCACACACACACACACACAATAGGTTGTGCAAACATACCAATGTGCAGCACCGATCTGGAGTTGTTGTTGGGGCTCTCCCAGTCCCAATTACCTCTTTGCCGGATGTGGCAATGGTTCTGTGTACCTCTTCGATATCCGCATCACCTCTCGGCCCGTCTCCATGTTTCCAGTCGCCCCTTCCTCAATGGCACCCGTTATTGCCCTCCAATATATTCCTCCCGACCAAAATAATACCTCCTTTCCATCTGGTGGTCTTCTCGCTGGTCAACTTAATCAGGTCAATTTACAATTTGTTATTTAAACTATTTGGGATGCATTGACAATATTCACCCGCCCGCTCATGTTGAGAACATGGGCTTATTCAATTTCAAGCTCATTTGGTATGCAATTTTCTACATTTTGGGTAGATAAGCATAATGATGCCTTACTTCTGAATAACTCGAATTCTGCCGCCTTCTTTGCTAACCGCTCTCAACCAGCTTGGTTGGTCATTCTGTTCATTGGGGGTTTAGTAAGTCTTTCGCACACCCCAGGCTTAGTCAAATTTTAATATTTGATTCCTCAATCCCTAAGCGTAATCCGTGCCCGCGACAGTCATAGCTTTTGACTGGTTAAGTGGCCAGTCATGCCACCTTGGGACATCTGCTGCTCATATGGCTGAAAATTACTATGATAGGCCTTTAACTTGATAGAATTAACTTTTTCACTGATCCATTTTTGATAGTATCCACTCTGGGTTTAACTTAACATACTGAAGGCAAAACCTAGAACAGTAGATTTAACTATATACTGCCTAAATGAATAAAAAGTTGGTCTATTCATGGCGTTGGATTGCCCCAAATAGATGTGCCACTGATATGAAATTTATTTTCTTCCTCCAATCTTAACTTTGCTCCTTGGACTGCCTGTAGCGCATTTGCTCCTATCTTTGAATTAGGTCCTAAAGTAGCCACTCAAATGGTGAGAAAATTGACCAGCTGACTAACCATCTGTGGGCACGTTTTGAGATCATGCAATATGAAATATGCTACTTTAGTCGCTAATTAATTGTTATGTAAACCTTGGAACACAACAATCTCATAAAAGACATTTTGTGGACACTAACAATTGACCAACTTCTTTCCTCCTAAAGATGGCTTTCCTCGAGGAGACTTTAACTTCCACTGATACAACCACTGATGAAGACCGAGAATACCGAAGTTATCCCTTGCCCCTAGATGGTTCCTTAGTATCTCTTTCAAGCCTTCACGATGAACGAGGGCTCTTCTTGGCCTCCTATCGACCCTCTACTCGCATACCACGTGTTCGACATCTCTGTACACGGCTCACGAGTCTTGGGAATGCAACATCGCCGTCGTCGACATCACAACAGACAACAGGCCATGGGTACGATTGTACATCTGTCGCGAGTCTCTATGGTGGTACTCAAATGAAGATGCTCGCCAGAGCTCAGCTTTTTAGACAGGAGCAATCTGGCCGTGCGTTTTGTTCCCTTTTATGTCCCTATTAGCATTCATTTGTGTTTTGAGGTATTTGTCATCACTGTAGAACTGTATGGGACGTTTGGGATACGTTTTATATTACAATATGTGGTTGTTTTTCATCTTGGCACAATGCCTACTTCTGTTTCAATCTGCATTGGAATGCGCTTGTCTTTATTTAAGTTCCCTGCCTTCTCGAGCGTCCAATGTACACACCCATGTTGGTATTTGCTGTGGCAAGTGCTATCTATTGAGCTGGCGAGATCGGTACTCTCTACTTCCTCATTAATGATGTCATTGCTGACTTGTGGTAGCCTTTCAGTCCTCTTCCTAACTTAAATGAACACCTACTTAAGCGTTATAATGAAAGGTAATTGAATAAAAACATGATTACTTGCTTAAACATCTAATTCTAATATTCAAAGTGACTAAGATTCAATTAAACACTTTTCGGATGTTATTTATTTCCTCCTTCTATTCCATTTTAGCACTCTGTTCGTGCTCTTATTTTCGAGTGCCCCATAAGTCTTTTTATTAATTTTGTGTTCTGGTTTTGAAAAGAAATCTGTAATACTTCGAACTACACCAGAATGTTGTTGCAAACGTATGCCCTCCACTGTCTAACTTTAAACTTGAAGGCATATCGGATACGAAGGAGTAAAGTATTCCGCAAATCCTATCTTCAGCTCTTTTTTTCTATCAGAAATCCTCGCGGTATCCGGTGACGATGACGCAGGTGGAGCTCTGATCTGGGATTGTGGTAGCAGCACTCGTACACAGACCCTCAGCGTGACCAACGGTTCTGCTCCAGTCATCGATGTCTGTGCCTTCAACAGTGGCAACAATCTGGCCCTCCTTACAGAGCGCCAAGTTGATATCTTTAAGCTTTCTCCTCCATTATGTACAGCTTAATGACCCTATTTGTATGTCTTTTTTAGTGCCTGATATATTTCATACACTCATATTTATTCAATACTCTAAATAAATTTAAGGAGACTCCGGCTGCGATGTAAAATATAATTTGTGCTCCATGACTCTTCTTCCCCATTCTGAGTAGCTTAAAGCATGGAAAAGCTCTAAATTGGGGGATGCTAGTGCTATGTTGTGAAGAGAATCTAATCAACTGCTATTTCCAACCGCCGGACATAGCAGAGTGGGTAACCGAATGGTTTATTAGAGAAAGTGCAGTAGCCCTAAGATATCAAGATGAAAAACTAGTGTTCATGTCGAGGAGCAAAGCTCATAAATGAGCTGGTTGACATTTTAAGAAATGGATAAATTACATAAAAATCACTGAATGAATCGTATCCTCAACTATGTAAGTAGCTCTTAGCTCATATTGTGTCGAATGATGACAGGAACTAGACGTCTTGAACAGAATTCATTGCTCGGTCGTAGGACCTGCCAATTACATTTGTCCGTGGCCAAATATGAGAACGAAGTATTCTTTCCATTTCATTACTCGTTCACCGAGTGGGTAATCAATCCTGTGTATTATGAAGCTGATGTACTTTATTAATGAGGAATTCGTCATATGAGCTATAAGTCATCTTTCCTCTTTCTTAGAGCCCTTTAGCATTATCAACTGAGTTATACTCGTGGATACTTATTATTAAGCTTTTAGCAAACTCAATGGATTCTAGCTATCGAAGATTAGAAAATCAAATAAACCCAGCACTACTTTATTTGTTTATTTTACTCAAAACCTGCTTAAATGTCATCAGCAATCTAGCATTGTAGCATTTTTCAAGGTTTCATGAAATATGAGTTTTACATGCTCAACGTTTATCCCTCATTTCATTCATTGATGAACAAATTCACTGCTTAAAAATGCACTTCCGGGTTTAAAAATCATGTATCGTTCTGACATATCAACTAAGCGATCAACCGCTAAAAATGGGATTAGAATTACAATTTATGAATGTTACCTAGAGTAAGGAAATACAAAACTGATATCATCCTAATGAAGAAAGAATGAAACTTTCAAGTATAAAGACCCTTAACTGTAATTGTATAGAATTTCCTGGTATCTACCCAGGAAACCACCACTTTATATCTAAAGTTATCTTCTCGAAACTAAAGCTTACCTTGATTTGACCTTTCAGTTAAATAAACTAAATAATGTGAGACCAACCACCGAATGATACAAAAAAGAATATGAGGTCTCAAAAGGTTTTATAAATGGAATAAATTGGCCAGGTGCTAAATGAAAATCCGACCATCTTGGACGGAGAGGGCGAGACTAGAGAAATGCACTCTACTGTTTACTTATTAGTAGAGTTAGGATCGAGGGTTGATACATCTGGTGGAAGCGTGAACATTCACCTCCAGAGTATCACACAGAGTAGGTGTCCAAGGAAGGCAATTGAGGTATTTGCACCAAGTACAGCTAGTTAGTGGCCACTTGACAAAGACCACCAAAAGGAGTAAAAAGAGAGCACACCACGTCACCAGACAGGCAATGATGACCTTGACCTTTCGGCGACGCATTCGACAGTAGAGTTCCTGGAGTTTGCGCTGATAAATTTCGTGGTCGGCATCGCCAACATTGGCTTGATCGCTCAAAGTTGAAACCCTCGTGATTGCGAGCTGATTTTTGCTACCATAACCGAGGTAGGGCACGAATACGTAGGCTAGTAGGACGCCGGATATGAAACCGGAGATATGGGCACAATTGTCTAACCAAGGTAGAAAACCAATGAAGAAACCGACCACTAGGTAGACCACTTGTTTGATTATTACTGACCAAGGAGAGACAAATATGTCTATTGTCTGCAGGGAGTCCATTAGACTTACTCCAAATAGAGCGAAGTGAGCGCCCATCGGCCCTGTGTGAACCTAGGATAAGTGAACCGAAAATGAGACTCTTATAATTAATTTAAGAGAATCCAATGTGGCCATATGTTTACTCTAAAAGCGGCAAGAAAATTCGTTGCTCGAGCAACAAAAAATGGATAGAAGCTTCCACTATTGAATCCTGTGCATTAATAATAATAAAGATATGTTGAAAATGTGGAATCTAGCCCACAGGGTCTAACAACATGGTAAACTTCCATTGAGACAAGTCGACCCGAGTACGTTATCAGGGGTATTACGCTTGAGTTTAATCAAACAAAACCAAGTTAACCAAATAGGCAAATATTTGACATAGCCAATGCGGTATCGCACTCCAGGTCTCAATGATGGAACACATAACAAACTTCCTATGAGACATGAGAACCTAAATATGATTGATCCCCCCCCCCTATGGCCTTAAGTTTGTCTAATTGTTAACTTATTTATATATTTCAAATGACAGGCGTTTTGATAGCTATCATTAGCCCTCTAGCTGGCCAAAACCAGATGTGTTCCCTAGAGTATTATGGAGCTTAATACGTAGTTCCAAATGCATTACAGGAGTCCCACTTGTAGGAGATCCTAATATTTTATATACATATACACATATATATTGCTAAGAATAGCATTTAGAGCAGAAACTCTAAACTTGTACAATTCCGCACATATTGTAATTGGTCAAGATACGAAACGGAACATAAACCCTCTACTAGTGTACATTTCCAATAAGAAGTTCTCAGATTTACGCTTAACAGAACTTGCTAGGCTTAAATATCTCAAGCCAATAGGATCTTAGGAACAAGAAACTGTATTAGAAGTCTTTTCCTAATCATTCCAAACATTAGGAACTACGTATCTCCTTGCGTAATTTCAATCAGGGTTACGAAATTGAAAGTGAAGAAAATGTAACACCATGTACATGGAAGACATTTTTTCGTTGATTTCACTGCATTCTTTATATCGACTTTGAGAAGTTAATGAAAATTCCACAAATGAGTTTTATTTTTCGTTAGATCAGAGTTCACTTCAGATCGATTAGCCTCGCGTACCACTTTTTACCAGAGGGAGCTGACAACTCTTTTCGCCAAGCGTTTTAGGGCTCTTTACTTTTAGTAGAGAGAGGTGTGCGATAGACTTACCTCCACGTGGTGCACCCTGGGCAAAGTATACTCATACGACAAAAAAGTCTATCAATCCGGCAGTTGGCTTCTGACTTCAAACTACCATCACCCCACTGTATGTCATATTCGACCCCTTCCACAGTGCTCATCTTACCTTTTCTCTGCCTTAATGTCTATCTATCTATCTGTCTGTCTCTTTAAAACATCTGTGATCCATTAGTCTGCCCCCCCCCCTCTCGACTTGTTGTCACTGATGTTCCTTCTCCTCTCTGTGAAGCCCGAAGTCAGCTAAAGGGCTAATGATGACTATCAAAACGCCTGACATGTAAAATAAATAAAAACTTTTAGTAGACTAAAATCTGAACATTACATTAACGACTCTATAGAGAAATTACCCTTTATTGCAGTCTACTGACCAATCAGCTCAGGAACCTAGGTGTCATAAATCATTAAGCTCAAACTTTGGAACTTTGCAATACGTATAATGTAATTAAGAAATGAATGAGCACCCTGAAAATTGGAAACTTGGATTAAGCAAGATCAGGTGACGGTGTCATCGCCATCTCCACGTTACAGGATTGTTTGCTTAAGCTAAAAGTTGCCGCTGACAGATGAAATAGGGTTCCCTGAATGCCCTTACATTTATTCTGTCCTTTTCATTTGGAAATCGAGTCAAATATTTTCAGTGCCTTTGGACTCGGGCCATATGCCGCCTCGTGTCTTACAGGCAGGACCATCGACTATTACATTTGTATACTCATGAATAAAGAAGTATGACCACTAATGGAGAAGTCGCCACCGCAACTAATGCTAAAGCAGGTAGACAATTACCTACAGCTTAATTGATTACAAAGAGGTTCATTTTCTTCCAAGTAAGCAATGCTTGGTTTGAGCTAAAGATTTCTATCTCTTTTTCTGAGGTCTGAACTTACATGATAGGGCAACATGATTCCAGAAGCGAGACCAGAGAAGCACCCAGAGAGCACGAAAATAGCCGCGATCCGCACACAGCCCAACAACTTTTCCAGGTGGCGCATCACGGTGAGTTGGATAAACAAACTCACAGCCAAATGCAGGATTCTAGAAAGGAAAGGGAATAGAAGAAAATCAAACACACTCTGCAAAAGGAGTGTGAAAAGTACTGACCTTGACTTATTTTCTTCTTTAAGCACTATTGACAATCTATTTCACTCCACATAAATGTGAAATTAAACTTTCATCTTTAGCACCCTAAGTTAACGGGGAAACGGCATACATTTGGAGAATAAGTTAATTAATTGCACAAATATGGCAATCGGAAAGCGTTGACTGGAAACCCAGCCCAATAATAAATAGACGTACGAATTCTATTTGACTGAAATCGTATGAACTCTGTTGTTCACAGCGTCTTCGCTAGTCACATTTACCTATTCACAACCACGAACATGGACTCACTCGAAAACTCAAGAATCAAATCATGGGAATATGGACAGGATTACTCAAAATGATTTTCACATCTTAAAATTTTAGGTCCCTTTAAGTATTTATTAAACGCATTTTATTCAAGATAACTTTATGTAAGATTTTGAAAAAAATATCGGTTTCTCACCCAACGTGTAAAAAAAGCGAAATGAATATCCGTGACAATTGGTCTGGAACATCCGGAAAGATGAACGGGATCATTCCGCAGATCTGGCGTAAGCAACTAACCTAAAGCATAGAAAAAATTATCAATGTTAAGCAAATTTGACAAGCGTTGCTACCCCTATGTCCAAAATGGGGAAAAAGAACAAACACTGAGACCTCTTGTGAGAGGGAAGCAAAAGGGGAGTGCAAAGCCTTCAGTAAAAAAACAAAATCAAATGCAGCTCTTCAAGTAGTAAGACGCACGCTGAAGGTTCACGATAGAGCATTGAAATTGGATTAGTGGAGTGCTTGCAAAAGGGAAAGCCATGATCATACAGTAAAGAAGAGACCATTGTATTACAAATGGAAACATCTTTAACGACCTCGAATGACTAGCATCTGAACATTCCAAGTGTTAGAAGTGTTAAACTATCCCAAATTTGACATTCAGGGGCTGCTATTGGCTACTCTTCCAGAGACTTTCAAGGTAACGCAACAGAAATCACAATTTCGGCAAATATTTTTAATTTCGCACCCAACAAACCTTGTACTACTACAGCCTTTCTTTCAACAAGTGCTAGACATGAAAAGCATATTAAATGAGCAATAACTTGCCTGCGAGCAGAGCCGAGCTTCACTATGAAAGTGGCCATTGAGAAATGAACAGTGCGAAGGTGTTGTGATGATGCATTCACCCTTAAGTCCAACACAGCAGGGTCGAGCTATCACCTCGCATTCCATGTGCGGTGCAAATCCCGCCAAAGCCGACGAGTTGATCGGTCGGGTGCATATCTGATAAAAAGTAAAAATCATCGTTAATCGATAGGATAGATGTCAATGGTTAGTAATATAACAAGAAAATACATTTAATGTAGGTTGAACGATAATACTGGATAGAATCCATAAAATCTAATAAAGGATACTCTGTTTAATATTGTTTGCACATTACTTGATAATCGAGAAGCAATTGATCTTGACAAACCAAAGTAACATGCAGCTCTCTAGTGAGTCTGAACAATAGCAGCCTCAGTGGGTTGTTTAATTACAAACAGTGCTGGTTCCAAGACCACGAAATTCTAAATAGTCTTATTGATATATATATATATATATATATATATATATATATATATATATATATATATATATATATATAGAGCGTAAAGAGGGCTCAAATAGAGATTAGAAGATAGAATGGTAGAGATGGAGAATAATGCGTTAATAATATCCTAGTCTAAAACAAGACGATATGACATCTATGAATCAATGAAAATTGATTTAAGAGGCGCCAAGCGACAATTTATGATACTCCGAAAGTAACTATTTGGATAAAAATGGGTATTTTTATCCAGGAAAAGTTATGCTAACAATTCGTTGTCAATAGTTTAAAACATTTGCCTATTGATTAAATGTTCAAAATTAAGGGTTCGTTGGACCTACAAAATACTCGAGCGAAGTTTGGCATTGAGCCAATTACGTATTATTGTTATTTCTGAGGTGTGTGCCCACATAAATAAACCCAAAATAAATATAATGTTTGTGAATCGTGAGATTGGGCGATATTCCTAAAGTTAGGTTGGGAAAGAAACAAAATAGAAGTTGGTTAGGACCAGAATAAAGAGCATATAAAGAAAAAAACTTAAAACTTACCCACCAATTCATGGTTACCTAATCTGCCTCGATGGGACTGAGTGACTTCAAATAGTATGACCGACCGACCTCTTTAAATGACCGGTTAATCAGTATTAGACGTCATGAGTAAGAATTCGATTAGTAATTCAGGGAATTTGTCATTAAATATGCAATTAACGAACCGAATGAAACAAAACAAATGAAGGAAGACTCGATGTAACCTTGGCTTTCTTTGTAATCAATTTTCTGATCGTACTCCTCATCCCTTATTAGGCTTTTCTATTACTAACGATTTCATTTGCTTTCTAACAAAGAAAATTTGTCCTTTTATGCTTTGCTATGGGTTATAATAATAAAAAAAGTGTGCAATGTAAACATTCTAAAAGAATATAGCCTCCAAAACAATTGTTTGCTTGCATTCTAAAGTGAACACAAATGTGAATTATTCACAATGCTGATGAACAATGGTACAAGAGTACTTGCTATCCACAAAAACATGCAAATTAAACAAAAAAGCAACTAGAGCTGGGAGGAGCGCCCCTAACCTTCATACAAAAGTGCTTCTGAGCAAACCAATTCAAGATTCAACTGGTTTAGATGTATGAAAAGAACTTCTTCTATGAAGTGAGTTTATTTGCGGAAATTAAGTCAAAAAAAACAAAACTAACCAAATACTTGACCTACTAAATTGAGTTAGTTTCAAACCCGTGATTGAATGGACTCAAAGCATTGAGAGATACTTCTTTGAGAAAAAAATAGGGAGAAAACACAGATGATTGAAAAGTAGAATTTTTAAAAATTCATTGAGTAAGATTTGAAAAATAATTAGTGAAATGAAGAAAGGCCAAAATCGGTAGTACTACCAATTTGACACCAATAATTTGATGACAGATTTCCTGAACAGAAGGAAGCTCGTTATTAAATTTGTTAGCCTCAAGGATCAGGAACTATAAATGTTGCCGGCCTAACCCTTAAATTAGCTCAGTCATCGATTTGATTTGGGTTTCAATAGCCTTCATTCTGCGGGTGATTCATTAATCAAAAGAACGTCGAATTGCTTAACATTTCTCCAAAATTCCAAGTATTGCCAGTGTTTTGGGAATACCATCCAAAGATAACAAGCAATACAAAAAAGTAAAAAATGAAGCAATGAGGAAATTTGATCCAGAATGTCAAACGTATATGATTGGATTCGTTAATGTGGACCATGCTTCCATGTTAGCTGAAGCAGAAATATGAGAAAAATTGATGGGGCAGGATATCGAAGATCCGGTTTGTACAATATTGACTTTAGAGAAGTTCACGTTAATTTAACTTCTTAATCAGGGGTGTGCGATAGACTTACCTCCACATGGTGCACCCTGGGCAACATATACTTATACGGCAAAGAAGTCTATCAACTGGCAGTTGACTTCTCACTTCAAACCACCATCACCCCACTATATGTCGAATTCGACCACTTCAACAGTACTCATCTCACCTTTTCCCTGCCTTAATATTTGTCTCTTTTACATCTGTAAATCACTCTTCTGTTCCCCACCCCTCGACTTCCTGTTACTTTGATGTTCCTTCCCCAGTGAAGCCCGAAGTCAGCTAAAGGACTAATAATAACTATCAAAACGCCTGCCATTTGAAATAAATTAATTTCTCAATCATCCCTTGGACTGGTGCAAGCTGTTCTAACAACGTGCAAATGCATATTGACCAGTTATTTAATCATGATCTTCAGTCGTGAAACTTAGAATTACGTTTATTCTCTCCGAATTTCCAATGGCAGTGATATCAGCATGAGATCTGATGTAGACAGGGTTTCAGCCTTTATACCTTTAAAGACAAACTGGTCCATTACTATTGACATTGAGGAAGTAGGAAAATGATAAGATGCATAAACCACCCCCAAGTAAAGCAAGACAAGAACCGATTGAATTCGAATAGGTGGTAAAAATTATTCCAAAATTCACCAAGCAATAAAATGTAAGACAAGACAGGAAGCTACTCTATAAATACAGCAGAATTTAGAAATAAACTTCAAATTCCTTCCTGCACATTCATGTGCACGTTAGTGACATTAAACAAATTCTCTCTCTGCCAGGCAATAAATAAAATCACTAATAACTTCATTATGCGTTTGATTAATTAGTGTGCCTACGACTCAACGTGAAATAGACTGTTTAAGATTGCTAGCATTTGCGTTTGTGATTATAATACGTACACGTTTCCACACGTACTGGCCATTCAGTGACATCTGTGGAGGACCAACCAAAAGGTCCGGTGGAACGAGGTTCTGCGCAGAAATCCGGATCCAACCCGCACACTGGGCCGATTAAGGGTGGTGGACGCACAGCTGTCGCCAACCGTTCTGTGTTTTCCGAGTTTAAATAGATTTGACCATCGAATAGAGGTTCAGCCAGAAGTACTGGAGTATTATCTGAGTTGTGCAACCACGTTGATGTGCTTCGAGAACAGAATAGGCGACTGGCTTGATAGCAAGTTCCATCCTTCATATTTATACAACATCCACTTCTATAACGATTAATAGAAGATATCTTTACACTGGGAAGTTGGGAATGCCTAACTTGCAATGCTTACTATACTGCATTATAACAAAGGGACAATGAGTTTTTTAACAACTGTCAGTAAAGTTACTAATGAAAACAAGTGTTTTTCTCAACTATGTGTACATTTTGTCGAAATTGAGCCGATAATTTATTTTTCAAAATCGCTGATATAAACAAGCATTAAACGACTAAGACAAAAATATGATAAAAAAGGCTTATCGCATAGCGTGTGCCAAACAAAGCGGTATTTTTTAATTGAAAGTAACCAAAAGGGCAGACATAGCACTTTCATAAGAGAATAGTAGACAATAAACTGACTGCAGATTGCGAAACAATGAATCTCGCTTTATCGTTCAAATTAATTTTAAAATCATTAAATTTTCGAATAAAAATTAATAACTTGAGAACTAAAAAGTCTTCACCCATATTAAGAAATATTTGATCTGATATGAAAAATTCGAGAAAATTGATACGATGTAACTCACTTTCTATCCCAATTTTTTTGAGCTTCAACAACCACCTTATTTAGGGTTTCATCCACTCGCATACATGGTGAAAAACGAGCTCCCATTCGAACTAAATCAGCTTTTTGGGGTCCAATCCAAATATTCTCATCTTGAACTCGACAAACATTCTCGATATCCAGCGAAGGCATCATTAGCTGCTTCGTCACAATATGCTCCAAGTTTATTCCAATTGGTGCAAAACCATAGCCAATACACGCGAAGATTGTAACCAAGACATGAATAAAACATACCATGTAAGTGAAATAGGGTCTACAATCAATGACAAACCAGTTATGGGCAGAATTGGAAGACATATATCAATTTAATCAATTGAAACTCACCTGTAATCTAACATACCGTCATCCACTTGGCGATAGATTTCATCCGTCGGTTTGGATTTTTTAAAGTACTGTCCTAGAAACTTGAACCTTCTGCCTAGCCTTCCATTGCATGTTTCCTTATTGCTTTGAGAATTATGAGGTTTACTGAGCATGAGGGGCGAAAGGGGAGATGATGTGTCTCTGGGGTAACGGATAAAGTAAGGAGTGCCAGCAGCTTCAACTGCTGAGGTCTGAATAGCAGGAATTTGATTGTCTAAAGTCGTGTTAACACCCTCAAGTTCTTCCATTTCAACAGAATCAAGGTTAAGAGGAGGAGGACGAAGCATTGAGAGACGAGAAACAACCGGCTTATCCAACTCAACCTGTAAGAGGATACACGCGTCTAAAGCAGCAATATCTTTAGGAACATCAGCCAATCTAACTTCAAAATCCTCTTCAATGTCCCCAAAACCATCAATTTGATCAGGGGTCTTGGAGATCTGGGAGGTAGGAGTAGAGGGGAAGAATATTCGACGTCCCTGAATGGGACAATCGACCGGTCTGGCAATTGGAGCCTTCGAATGTGAAGAGACATGTAATTCAATACAACTTTGGGATCTTGAAGTTAATTTTTCTGGGATATTTTTAGATGGCTCTGAGAGTAATTTACATTTGTAGGTGGAGTAGAATCTTGAAGAAGCCCCTTTGTCCTCATGACGATCGAAAAGTGTAGTGGAATCTCGACAGACAGAATTGCATTCAAGAGACTCATTTCCAACCGGAGAGGAAACAATTTTGCCGGCAGGTAGTTTCCACACCGCAGATTCGCAGACTGACATCTAGGTTACATAATAATAGTAATAATAAAACATTGAAGAAACTAATTAATTTAAGGTGCCAGCCTACAATGCAACAAGACATTCATCCAATAAAATTCAATACAGGTATTAGCAAGAACAAATCGTGTTAGAGGAGGATGGGAAGTGCTCTTAACCGCGCATTAAACCAAAAAATCAAATAAATTGCAAAATAGTAATGAGAGCGCACCCTTTGAAGTTCAAGAGTACCATTGCATGATTTCGCATTTTTGCGACGTCTTCGAACAGTTGTATCTATGACTAAATTGCTCAGAGTTCGCAAAGCATTATTCCGATAAGCAGCAACACCGAATGGAGAAAACGGAGCAGGTGTTCCTAACTGAGTCATTAGGCTAACCTTCATACCAATAAAAACATGGAAAATACAATTGAATTAAATAAATGAAAAGGCAGTTTGTACAAAACATACCTGCCGGCGAAGGGATTCGCTGTGAGGAGGATCAGGCACCGTGTCTAGTGGAGCGAAATCATCACAGGATTTTCCCTGTAAATAAAAATAAAAAGCGACATTAATTACATCAATAAAAATAGATGGAAAATGCAAAATGAAATGTCATACCAATTTGTCAACTTTGATCTTTCCATACTTTTTCAAATTATACCGCAGGCGTCTAGAGTTCCAATCTTCATTAGCATTAACAAATCCGTTTATTAATAGGCCGACGGCCTTTTCTTTTAAGGAATTGTGTGTTGTAGCTCTATTAAGTTTGTGAATCAAAAAAAAATCAACAAGAACACACTTTGAACGTTCACTTTGTGGTGAAATGCGCTTTGAAATTTCCTCGGGATTTTCCATTATATAAGTATTTTTAGTGATTTCATTCGCATATTACCCGACTTGATAAACCAGAAATGGCTGCATTTATTTTTGAGGTCATAGTGTCTCACTGAAAGGTATTTGGATCTAAATGATGCTAAGGTTTGAGTGTAATTTATTTATCTGAAAAGAATCTGAGCATTTCAATTATGTTTGCATTTAATGCTGTCTTTTTGAATGGAGTAACGGCAATAAATATTCATTGCTTACTCATAAAAGAAAAGAAAAAACCATTACCACGTACGATCATAATATTTCACGAAATAATTGAAGTAAATCGTTGCATTAATTTAAGCAATTTATGAACAGTATGTGAGCGAAGACTACATTTCAATCTTCACCTTTTAGGAGACTGTGAACAAAGAGTTCATATTAAAAATAAGAGAAATATGATAAATTTGATTCAGTTCGACCCATTAATCAAATCTTATGATTCGATCGACAAAATTAATGTTAAGATTCTTGTAAATTACGGCTTATGCACTGCACTTTTAATGGCAACGTAATTATCTAGATGACCTGAATGTGCTTCCTCGTTTAAAATCCGACTGATATATAATTATGCATAATTTTTTATGTATAAATTACTATTGTAACAGTTTATTGTTTCACATATAGAAATATATATACGTAAAATTTAATTAATTCAACTATCACTTTGCATATAGCAGCATTTAGGGAAAATGTAAACAGTAATAGAAATGTACCTTTAAACTTGAAAAGGGTATTGAATTTCCCAATCCTGACCAATGAGAATGAAAAATATTTCGTTAGTTAATCAATAACTAACAAATAATTAGACGAACGTATTATGTCTGTGAATATTACCAACAACGAGCACTCTCATTGTTTCAGGTTCTCCACACCGATTTTCACGGCGAAGTCAAAAGATTCTGTGTGAATTCCCTGAATTAACATTAATGTACTTCCAAATATGGAGACTCAAACTTAATAAACCCCAATGCATTAAATGTGCTATATGTTTAGTAGTTCAATACAAGCTTATTTAGTTATGCGTCAATTAATGCTTTAGAGCTGTTAACGTAGTACCTTCAAACTGTTTGTTTGTTACGTGTACACAAAATCAATTTGTGCACAAAGAGTTTTGTATTGTACATAAGCGTATTCAAATTCGTATTCAAATATTTAGGCGAACACTGCTAATTGGAACAGTGACTTTTATTGAATAATAGAATGTCGGCATAATAATTTTTACCGAGCATCATCAAAGAAGTTATGTATGTTGCAATATCTTTACGAAGCTGTCAGAAAGCCACTTCAATGTATTTACTAACAAATCTTATTTCATAGACAAATTTTTATTCATAAGACATCAGTCAGGTCTATATGTTAATTGCTTTGTCCCAAGCACGCACATGAATCCTTGTGTCAGCTACTGGAAATGTATTCTAATTCCCATTAATGGCAAATTCAATGAAAGATAATTTCTTGTTAGTTAGCTAGATTTAAGTGAATTACTGAACAGTAAAATGAAGTACATGCAGATATCGATGTTTACACTCCCATCAAATTATTATAATAAGCGCCAGTCCTCAAGGAAAAAAAATTAAACGTAAAAAATTTCGAAACGTTAGGTTTGTTGTTCTAAATTGCAAAAGTTATCCGTACTATGCTGTTCAAACGCATCAACTATGAAAACAAAATAATAGCATCAAGTTGATTAAGGGTGGAAAGATTTTCTGTTTATATGTCGATTCAGAAACATTACATTTCTTTCCTCTATCTTATACGTCGATTTTTTAATGAGTAGTGACAGTCTTTCTTTAATGAACAGAAAATATCTTTAAATAAAGTAATCTTTCAGCATTATTTATGGAATTATATTTAACAAAGACGCAATTAATATAATCTCTTAATTAATCAAGAATATTTATTTATATCAAATGACAGGCGTCTTGATGGTTATCATTAGCCCATTAGTTGACTTCAGGCTTCATAGAGGAGAAGGAACATCAAATTGAAAAAAGTCGAGAATATTATTATTGCTCTTTGAAGCACCGGTAACAAGGATTACTGAAACGTTGAAATTGAATTGCCATAATAAAATGTAAGCTTGAATAGTAGAATCAGTAATTTAAAGTAAAAATATCAAATAATTGGGCAATGCCACAGATTAATCATGTATCTGCCTATAAGGAATGCAAATAATTAGAAGTGATCCCTAACTATTGTTTAAAAGATCAGCCATATTTAAAGTAAATGGTTTCCTTTTAAATCATTTCCAATTTAGATTTAATATCCCCAAATTTAAAATTTATGGGAGTTGAATATTTCGGCATACTGAATAAATGACTAAGATCGAAAACGCCAAGTTTCCCGTCTAAAATAATAAGAATTTAAATAATCTTTCTTAAGTATAATAATTAAATTTAGTGAAAACATATATTCAATTTTTAGATTTTATTATTGTCAAGTAAAATTCCAATGTACCGTAGAGTCTATTTGACGTTTTTCAAAATATATCTAATTATGTATGCAATAACTGGGCTGAATAAAATTATCCTTTTTAAAATTTATGAAATTCATTAGTACCCCAAGTACAACTTGATAGTCATATGCATCACTTTAACAATTCGTGATTTGTTTGAACCATCGGAGTTTAGTATCCGGTTTTAACTTGTTTGACTTTGACATTGCTTATTTATAATTCGAAGAATGGCTAGTGAGAATCCCGACGAAAATTGGAAGGCTACATTAAATCTTCCTGAAAAAGATTCTCGTATAAAAACTATCGATGTAGCTCGGGCTGAGGGTATCGCTTTTGAAAATTACGGACTTAAAATCGAATTGTTGAAGGGTATCTATGAGAAAGGTTTTGAATATCCCTCTCCTGTACAAAGATCTAGCTTACCAGCTTCATTAGAAGGCAGAGATATTATTGCACGCGCCAAAAATGGAACTGGGAAAACAGCAGCTTATTGCATTCCTATTTTGAATTCCATAGATACTTCCTCCACCGAGATTCAGGCTTGCATTTTGGTTCCAACAAGAGAGCTTGCACTTCAAACTAGTCAGACTTGCATTGAACTAGCCAAACATATGCAAGTGAAGACTATGCTACTAATTGGTGGAACTCAATTAAAGGACGATTTAATTCGACTGGCCCAGACTGTTCACTTACTAGTTGGTACTCCTGGACGATTAATTGATCTTATGAATCGGGGACATATTCGCTTAAATCACTGTAAAGTCATTGCTCTTGATGAAGCCGACAAGTTGCTGTCGGATGAACTAAGAAATAATGTGGAACGGATTTTGGTTAATTGCGCCCCAAAACGACAGATTCTTGTATATTCAGCAACTTATCCCGTTGTTGTAGGATCATTTATATCAAAGCATCTTAAAAACCCTTTCGAAATCAATCTCATGGAGCGTCTTACGCTTAGAGGAATCACAGAATACTACGCCTATGTACAGGAAAGATATAAGGTGATCGAATCTTATTTGTTTACCTTCCACTGTTATGTAGGTTCATTGTCTCAACACTCTTTTTTCCAAACTTCAAATTTCGCAAGCCATTATATTTTGTAATACTGCTCAACGTGTGGAACTATTAGCAAAAAAAATTACCCAGCTTGGTTATTCCTGCTTTTACATTCACTCCAAGATGTCACAAGACGACCGCAACAGAGTATTCCATGATTTCCGTAGTGGTATTTGTCGAACACTTGTCAGTACAGATCTCTTCACCCGCGGTATCGATATTCCAACTGTAAATGTGGTTATCAATTTTGATTTCCCAAGATTCGGTGAGACATATCTTCATCGAATTGGCCGTTCTGGTCGGTTCGGCCATCTTGGTATTGCCATTAATTTGGTCACAGAAGCCGATAGGTATGCTCGACTTTCATGTTTTATTTGCTTCTAGAATGTCTTTGAAGAACATCGAGCGTGAGCTAGGTACAGATATTAAACCAATTCCAAAGGAGATCGATAAACGCCTCTACGTTGCCGAATTCCAGAACGAAGCCAATTTGGACAGTGAAACCAAAGCTGCTCTTTGTCAAGGCAGGCTTTATGATATCCCCCCTTGGGATAAAACTAGTAATACCAACAATGGTAAAGAGTAGTGTGCGCCCATGTGCACATGTATATATTGTAATTCCAGAGTTCTTTTTACCGCGATACCCATTCCCTCTTTGTAGCATTCTCCCCTGTATTATATTTCCATCCACTTCTTCCAACTCTGTTTTATTTTTTGTTACTGCTTCTTCTCTTCTGTACATACACGTTTTCCTTTCTCATTTTGTACAGTTGGACCTCGTTGTCCATGGCTATGCGCTCAGACAATCGAACAAACCGGTGTAATATTCCGGTCCTGTGCTTCGAATTGACTTATGAAGCACTTCAGCCTTTCAAATTGCGTTGGCACTGTATTTGTTGGGTTCTAACAACAAATGCACTACTAGGAAGCTTCTTCCCTTTTCCCCTTACGGTCGTGATGCATTGTTCGCGTGTGTTGCTTTTGCAGAGGAAGTTATGCGATACAATGCGTGTAATTGTGCGGATACGCTTTAGCCTGCAGGATCGTATTTTCATGGAAGTTCGGGTTGGTGTTGTATTTTCTCAGAGCTTGCTTTCAGATTGGAATAAGAAACTGACCCCGAAGGTTAAATAAATGCTACTATAATATGATTGTCTTCTATTTTTTGTATCTTTCTACTCTTCTGTCCTGAATAGCTCTGGTTTATTTTTATGTAAAAAGTCGTATTTCTATAGTAGTGCGATTTTACTTGGTGGTATGTTTATCTTATGGAATTTGAGTGTTATAGAGCTCGGGTGGGACCTCGTTTGTGTTTTAAAATTCCTAGGTGACTGCCCTCTCGAAACACCATGTGTGAATATAACGCTTGTTCTTTTATGTCGTTATGATCTCCGTAGGTCTAATATCTGTGTTGCGTGTTTTGAATTTCCATTTTAGCCGTTTTCTTTTAAATCTGGTTGACTAAATGAGCCCACACCAGTATGCTTTAAGTGGTCTGTTTAACTTGTTTCTAACGTCAAGAGAATCCATACTTGCAGTCTTTTTAACTATATGCCTTTGATTAACTCAATCGAACATTTTGACCTCGACCTCTGTTAATGCACGTAGATACATTAATCACTGAATTGAACTATTAATATACGCATCTGGTACATGGTTGCTTCTGGTATCACGAGAAGAGGCTGTGTTTCGAATCTCTGAGCCATCTAATTGATTGAGTTTCAAACTATTTCTTGTGAACCCACAAATTGTACCTGAATTAATGAATTGGTTTAGAACGCGCGTAGAGTATATAAAAATATGCCTTGCTAATCTTCTCGATTAGAGTTGACCCCGGAACTATTTTGGCTACATCAACTGTACAGAGGAAATAATGTATGAAATAGAGTTTCTTATAACTTTGAGCCCACTACAAAGAACGGTAAGTAAAATCAATGTAACTTTGAATGAGTATTAATCGCTGATTAGCAGCACTCACGACCTCACTTTTCAGAATTTTCAAGCATGCGTGAGGTAACGTTGGCTTGAATGCTACACTGAAGTAAGGTCAAAGTTGGATTAGATTTCCTCTCAGCTTGGTCTTCATAGTTGCAAAGATTCTGCGTTTGTAATACTTTGTACTGACTGCCTTAAATTCGAACACCGTACTCTTCAGTTTAGAAGCTAGGAGAGGCTTCACTACCCAATCCTATAACGCTAACAGCTTCAAACAAACATTTCCTTCCGGTGTCAAATCAACTATTTGCCCATGGCAAAGTAAAAATTCTTGTATGCCTTCTAATACTAGGAAGAAGACAAATGAACAAGGTTTCACGAAATGCATTAAGCAGGAAAGGAGATTATAGGATAAGCAAGTGAAGTACCTGTGTGGCCTAACTCATGAGCCTGCTCAATCTCTGTGCACTTAACTATGTAAAGTGACCTTAAGATCCCCCATAAAAAGCTTATCTTTTCCTGATCATTAAGCTACTTATGAGGTCCACTAGTGATAGCTGCTAAGTCACAATCACGATGACCTGATACCCCTTCAGTTTTTGTATGTAATTATTATACATTACCTAACGTGGACACACCAACGTCACAACACGGCCATTAAAGTTCAAGTGACTACTGATTTTTCCTTTTCACATTCCAAATACTGCTGACCATAGAATCGTTTGACGCAGTTTGCCTTGTTAGAAATTGACAAAAACACGAAGGAACTAACTGCAGAAAACACAGGGATGGCAAACAAAGGCCGATGCTACTATTACTTTCTAAAGAACTGTGACAGCTCAGTCAGGATGTGCGGAACCTTGGTCACATATATCTAAATACATAAATTCCTCCTTTCAGTCCCAACATATCTTGCTAGGTGAAGTGGTGATAAACAAATGTGAGGAAACCAGCGTATCCGAAAGAATTTGCCGAAACCATTGCAATCCCGGAAGCAACCAATTCTATCTTCATTTTTATACAAATCCAAGTTCAGGAATTGAGATACCATTGATGATGCCATTCCAACCTCTAATCAACCAATCGAACATGATGGGCTCTCTCCCGAGAAATTTTTCGTCACGCCTAGCGTAGAAATTAGGAAAGTGACAATCATCAAATTGAGGACTTCGAAGCTGTGGCTTCCACTCTGCTTAGAAAGGTAATCGGCGAAATCTTACTCCATTTCCCGAAAGTCCCGGAAATAACATCAAAGTAACAAACTTACTTATGGAATTCACTCTATCTTGAAGACAGGATTAATGAGTACGATCATTAGACCCGACTTTGGATATGCATTGAACCCGTAACTTCTGGCATTATAGATGGCATGATAATCGGTGCTATTCAAACTTTGCTTTTAATTACTAAGCAATCACCTCGATAGAATAAGAAAGAAACTTTGAAATTACCAAAATGCTATTAAAAATTTGGAGATATTTGAGAAAAACCAAGCAACATATAATACCGAATATCAAGAAAATTAAATGACACCCTTTAAGGGCCACATTTAATAGAAATTAGATCCTCTTTCCTTCCTTATCGATAGGCGTTCCGAGCTCCGAATTTGTATCACCCTTTGGGGTAGCTCTTTTCACACCCTTTGGCAGGTCCTCCACTGACGACTACAACGCGCAAAAATAAAATAGTGAATATGTGACGCACTCGACATTAAAGACAACTGCGTCACAAAAGAACAAGGAGCATGAAAACTCCTACCTGAAGTGGAAGGGATATCGGAGAAATTGTACCCTAAAAGAGGCGTTATAGAGAAAGTTAATTGAAAGAATAAAACGGAATATGGTAAAACCGTAGTTATCGTTAAGTAAGGAGAAACAATGACCCAATGAACCTCAAAATTTAAATACTCGATATTCTCATTATAGGCAATATATAAAGGTCCAAACACCTTTAGTCTAAATAGAATGAACAAAGGAGTTTTTAGATCAAATAATAAGTGGCCAAATGTAGACCTGCGAAGTGAGTTAAATAGCTATCCGCAATGATTGTTTTGTCAATTAAGGACGGGTTGGCAAAATTCGAGTTTCCCAACACGATTCAGCCCAAACGGACTTAAGTAAATGCATCACTAAGAGGATTTGGATTTACAGCAGTTACATACGACTAGCAACATACAATGATTATAACTCACAAATGGATTATACTTTTGAGATCTTAGTCCACACAAGTTTTACAATAGAACGAGTAACCCCCCCCCCCCTACTTTTATATGGTACGCTTAAAAATATAATTGTTCCACATCAGCTGTAACTTTCAAGCTCTTCAAAGAAAATGCGATTAAAAACTCGAATTCTGTAACTCGCCTTATGAAAAAGCCTAAACCAGTGATGTTGATCATTCCTCTCGCCAGGGACTGAAATCATAATCATTAACCACAACAAATGCACATCATGAGTGAGAAATTGATTTGTTGATTCACTATTTTTTTCTTTGGAAAATTTCATAACTTACAACTCCACTACTGGTTCGTGATCTAAAACTGAGAGCAGAATTCTCTTCCTCAGATGCCAACACACTCGAAGACCCATCGCCTTTTCTACGTTCTGCACTTAAAACATTTGAGACATCCGCCAGTGGAAGAGTTCCATAATCCTCTCGAAATTGGCTAAGCAGAATACTGTGTCGCTCAGTGCGAGGAATGCTTTTCGGGTAGGGCAAATTCTTTCTTGACGGAGTCTCACCAGTTGGGCTATAATCCAGAATTGCCTCCGAGAGATGATCAGAAAGCAAGACAGGGAGACGTGGAACCAGTGCACTGCGTATCTCCTTAAACACCGGAATTCGAGCCTCTACAGAAGCTACAGCATCTCCAACTTTCCCCATGGCACTTTCGACAGTAGACTTAATCCTAGTAAAGCGCTCCTTTACTCCATCGACAGTTTGAGCAAAGAAGGAGATGGAAGTAATCTCGTCGGAGATATTAGCGTCAGAACTAATGGACTCCCACTGAGCGCACTGATCTTTGAGTTGTTTGCCAAGACCATGGGATGAAAGCATACATTCTTTAGCAGTTTGGGAAGTACGATCGGTCAAAATATCAAAGGTATCACTAGCATCTTTGACACTTTTACTCAAGGTATCCAAATTAGCCACACAATTGTCCAAGTCGGTAATTGTAGTAGACACAGAAGCCTTTTGCCCATCATTAGCAGAGGTTATTAGCGTTAGTAATTCATTGGTAACTGAAGTGACGACCTTTTCTTCTCTATCAGCAAACTGTCGGATATGATTGCATTGTGCAGCTAGGGCTTCCTCTATCTATTACATATAAAAAATTTTCATCAGTTAAATAGACAGATATAGCTAATTTCCATTTCGCAACTGATATTATCACCTTTAAGTCAGATTCCACGTCTGTTTTGACTAGGGATTTGGCGTGCTTCAAAGCTTCCTAAAAAGAAAAAAGTTTGCGACGTACCACAGTTAAGACTGAGTTTGGTGTGCGTATTCAATGTGGTTAAAAAATGGAGAACAATAGTATATTAAGCTAACACTACTAGAGTAAAATGTCCGCATTAGTCTTAACGACCAGTTCAAGGTTGAAATATAAGATAATCCGGAAACACGAATGTAAATTAGTTTAATGCTGAAATATGGGGTTATGCCAGCAATAAGGAGAATCAGGTTAAAACAGAAGGAAGTCACAAGACAGAAACTAAGTCCAAATACACCTTGCATAAAATCTCATACAAGTACTGGAATCGAAATGTTCTCCACTCTAACCAATCTATACCAATTTATCGTCCAAATTGAGGATCCTCGACATTCAGTACAGAAAGAGAAGGGGAGTAAGATTACAAGAAGCAAAGGTTGCAACTCCTACTGTATGAGAATTATCCTCATAATTCTTCGTTGCCCCCCAAACTTCAAGATATTAACCAAATTACTGACCTAAGTGATCATCGTAGAAAACAGAGTCTATCTCCCTCTTTTCAATTTTATAAATGAAAATCTGGGGTATACTTACGTCAACACAAAAGTCTTCACAATAAAATGAATACAACAGGGTGAAAACCGATTAAGGTGATATAGTTTTAGGCCCCTCATAAATTTATCACCCAAGTCTTCGATCCTATAATGCATAAATTTAATAGTGATTAGAACATGAAAAAAACCGGAACTAACTTCGAGAGATTCCACAAGGGCATTAGCCTCTGATTCCTTCAATTTTCCCCGATCCTTCAATTCAACACTTAATTTATTATTCTCCTTAATAGTCTCATTGCGAAAAGTAGACCAAGTTTCAGCAGTTTTCGACAGCTTGACGGTTTTGGTTGTGATATCGTCGAATATCTTGCAGAGGATTTTATTCTAAAAGCAACAAAGGCATAGGATAAGTGAAATTGAGAAATGGAAATTGAGAATTCTGGAGTCTCAAATGTGTTTGAATTCATATTCTTCAATCCCTCTAATTAGATGATTCATTCCCTTCAATCAATGTACATCAATATGATGACGAGTATGACCTTGATGAGGAACTAATAGAATAAATAAAACAATGAATTGTGAAAACGCCAACAATATGCGAATACCAGTAGAAAAGGAAGCAGAGCTTTAACACAATAGACGAGATAACTGCTCCCCAGACGCAACAATTATAAGAAGTTTCAAGTGAGCCAATTCTCGGTAGCTTTAAAATACAATAATGGCAGCAACCATGAATATAAAATTCAATGGCCACAGTAGACTCTTGTCAGTGGGTTAGTGAAATAATTATCTCACTGCTCTACCTAAAGCTTAATGCACCCACTGAGCAAATAATACGTTTATTAAATTTATAAATAAAAGGGCACATTATGAACAAGAATATACGCAGGTAGATATTGATCTCACACTGAAAACAACACACAAGTTATCTAAAAGAAAAGATTACAAACCTCATTAAGCAGCCTCTGACGTATAGCAGCAAGATTTTCCCGTAATTCAGAGCCTAGATTGTTAACCACATCAAGGGCTGAATCCATAGTATTAACGCGGAATTGCGTGACAGTTTCGACCTGAGTATTCACTAAGTTCTCAACACCATTGACACACCTTTTCAAATTTGATGAAACTATAGAAGCGAGGACAGAGGAGAGTTGATCGACCTCTCTCAAATTTGCCTCATTTGAAGCCTGTAACTGCTTGCATGCATCTCCTAGAAACACAGATAGAAGAACCACAACTGAGGAAAATTAAATGAGGCGAAGGAGCAGAATAAAAGAAAATCTTAATAAAAAGTACATGTACAAAACTCCACTAAGGCACTAGAAATAAAAGCTTGCTTTAGATTCCAAAGTCCTAACTAATAACGTTGCTTATCTGGAGATATGAAGGCTGTTATGCAAAATCACTTGTAATCGCTATCAGTGTGAAGAATTTTTATAGAAATTTCGATACTCAATTTGGCATAGCTACCACGGCCACCGATCCAACCACTCTCTAAAGAGATTTCTAGTTCGTTTGAACAATCTTGATCACAGCTGTAAGCGATGAAATTTGTGGGATGCTAGAAGAGTGATAGCTCCGTGAGATCTAAACTTACTTCCAGTAAAAGAAAAAGTACATCGATTTAAAGAAGTTCAGAATTTTCACTACTTACTAAATGCCAATATTCATGAAAAATTTACAAGTAAACGCAAAAGAAATACACAAGTTGTGGTTACCCTTAAAGAAGCCTTAACAAATACATCAGAGCGAGAATAAGTAGTAAGAAATTGGTAATTGGTTTCCGCATAGAAGGAAGATATACCAAAATTCATATATGACTTGATCAAAGCGCCTGTCTTAATCAATAGGAATGATTCAATTCTCATTGGAATAAGGCAGTAATAATCTAGAATATCCTATCAGAAACTAGCTCACTTCCAATCGCGTTTCAATGATAAGTAATTTGTATATCAAAACTATGACTCTTACATAACACTCAAAAATTGATATAAGAAAAATTGAAGAAAAACATTTGATTGATAACGCAAACAAGATAAAAGGTAGATCCAATGACATCTACAAACTACCACAACAGAGAGTGACGTTTTGGAGCATTTCTGTAAAAAGAGCTAATAATATGAACAGAACAAGGAAAAAGTATAGTTACAAAAGGAGAATAAAAGTCGCCAATTCAATGATCTGAAAATCTCCTCTGACTTTCACGAATTTAATGTACCGATAGAAGAGAAAAGCTCTGAATTTCGCTATTATTAGCATAGCTAGTCAGCTATTCGAAAAGACAAATACCACCGATAAAATAATAACATTGTTCTAAATAAATTAAGAGCAAATTAAGCCTACCTAGCTGATTCGATAGCTGCTCAATCTCAGACGAAATATCATTCTCCAGAGTGCAAACCACCTCAAGTGGTTTTTTAAGATTCTCGGCCAAAAATCCCTCAGGAAGTTGTTGAATAGCCGACCGGTTCTTCAGCTCAAGCGATTTGAAACGATCAATTTTGCCATGCAGACCCTCAATATCTGCTTCAAATGTACTGGCAACTGAGATCAAGTCCCTTGTCCGTTCAGCTAGCCTCTCTTCGGTGATTTGGTACTCCGTTCGCAAGTACTTCTCCTCCTTCAGCCTCCTTTGCGTTTCTTCAAGCCTCTCCATTGTAGACCTTAAATCCTCATTTGCTTTATTCAGTTCAGATTCGATTGCCTCTTTAACATCTTTGATTTCACATAATTCCTGTTGGGTAAGTTCAAAATTTTTAAATGCCGCATCCAAATCTGCCTCTAGCACCTCTCTTCTGCTCTCCAAATCACTGAGAAATAAAAGTCAGACCTTAAAATCTATCCAATAAACAAAATAATGAATGTGTAAAGGACGGTCCTCTTACTCAATACGAGTTCTTTGCTGCTTCAACTGTAAAGTCATAGCTGCATAGTTATCAGAATCGATAAAAACACCCGTTTTGGAACGAGTAGCTTCAAGATCCCGTCTTAGACGTTCCAATTCCTCGTTATAACCTTTGATCAACTGAGTCTTGTTAAGCTTTTGGTTAATCTCTGGACGATTCTGAATGTTCTTTGCTCTGTGAGCGTAATCCAGGGTCGATATTGTTTCCTCAAAAGATGAAATTCCAGGTCCGATAGTGGCAATAATTGAGGTCTTAGTTTTACCACCTAACGAGTCCTATTAAAAGCGAATAAAAAAAGCACAAGACAACAACACCTGTAAAAGACGTGTGAGTTTGCTTTCACGGTAGGGAATATGGGGGCTGTGGTCCACTAAGCAAGTAATAACGCGGCCAAGGGTGAGGAGGCTTTGATTAATTGAACCAGCCTCTCTAGCCCTCTTATCCAGTGCACCAGAGCGGCCTATATTCTCACTACCAGCAAGATCAACCAAATTCAATTTTCCAATCTTGAGGAAAACTTCATCCTCTTCTGGGAAACTCTCTTTAATATGTACTGTAACAGTAAAGACGGTATGAGAACGACTTGATTGAGCATTAAGCTGAGTATTGGCTGTCTGTCGACGAATTAGACCCTTTTCAAGAATACCATATACTTCATCTTTGTTATGTACAGCCACTTCGCGCAGTCCCTTTACAAGAACTGAACCCTTTTTGTTTGAGTCATCATATATTGCAAGTCGAACAGTTCCTTCGCCAGATGAGAGCAAATCAAATAATTCTTCATTATAGAGCTCCAAAAAGGAGACACGAACAGAAAAATCACAGCCCTGAGATAAATGTTGAGGATATTAAAAATTTACCATTGCTTCCAACGTGGAGAAAATTTGATTGAGAGCTCTGGGAACAATTCCAGCGGTGGGATCAGTCTCCCAAGTGTAACGTAGTGAATCCGATCTCTCACCAGTCATGGTATAAGTTTTTCCGGTACCGGTTTGACCATAACTGCAGAAAGAAAATTTAGCATACAAAAAATACAAGCTCACGCAAAAATTGTGCAGTTGTAACCCTCTAATACCTCAACAACAGTCGGCGCAACCATGTCATTGTATATATCCTTTTGCTTAGAGTGAGGTCCGAAAACACGATCGAAAGTGTAAGACCGTAAAGAAGTTGATTTATCTTTTAGTACAATTTGCTGATCCTTGCATGACTCGACAATGCTGAAATCTCCCAAGTTCTCCTCACGACTGTTAAAGGGTCTAAGAACAGGTTATATTTTTATTGAAAGATACCTGCAACGAACAGCTACTCTGATATTCTGGCGATTACTTCTTTCGCGGCGCATAATTAAATTTAACACGGGCGCACCAATCAGGAGTACGCATTCTTAAAAGGGTAAAACATTAATAAGTAAACTATTTCTCATAACTTTCCATTGTTGAATTTTGTTGTTATTTAGAAAACAATTTTATATAAAAACCATTATAATATTGTAATACCCGCCATGTTTGCATTTTAGATCAAATTCATATTAAACAAGGCTTTTCGTAATCATTAAATTATTATTACAGGAAACAGCGTTACATTTTACGCATAGGATGACTATGTTCAGAACTATATTTAATTTATGACAATTAGAATATGCAATCCTCTCTTAATTGGTAAAAAAGTATATTCCCAATTTGCAAATCTGCATAGATTGTTCGTTATCTAAGAATTGGAAATGTGTTTTAAGATTCATAGTTCAGTAATCTTTGATTTAATAAAAGTACTATAAGATAATATTCATTAACATGGAAATAATTAAACAGATTTATTTTTATAATAAATTTGTGAAAACGAACTTTTGTGTTTATTGATTTAAAGATTAAAGATTTTATAAATTAAAATATTACTTGGTCTTAATTTAAAAGACTGTTCTAAAATAAAAAAATTCTATTGCTTCATTTGAATTATGACTTAAGTTTTAACAGTAAATCTCGTTTTACCGGTTTCATTATTTGGCGCTCTACGCTTTGGAAGGTGAGTGTTGAAATGGCTTCTGATAATCCTATTGTTGCTCGTTTGGTTTTTCAAAGATGTACAAAAGCTAAACTACTTCTAACCGAAGATGAACCTAAGGATGAGTCAGATTTTATAGCGATCAACGAGGGCCTATTAGTTTTTATCGCAATTCTTGGTGATATTACTCCCAAACTTCAAAAACTGGTAAAAGCAATTTGTACTACCCAAATTTGCGAAAAGGATGGAAAATACGTTTCCATTCTCGATTTCCCCTGTGATGTCATCTTGATTCCTCATTTCTGTCTTGGAGGACGCCTTAAAGGCAAATCGTTTCAGTATCACTCCATCGTTTCAAAGGAAGAAGCTGAGCGTTATTTCAAGCTAATAAATGATAGCTGCAGTAATTTCGCAGCCTCAAATTCTCATTGGGTCTCCTCTGGTCATCGTATTTATGCCGGTGCCTTTGGTATTCGACAAAATCTGACTGTTCATAGTAATGGACCCTTCACTCATGTTGTCGAAATATAGCTGCTTAAATTTGTCATTTTGTGTGTTTTTTTTCCAGCTCTGTTTAGAAGTTTGTTTAATATTTTTACAGGATGATTGAAATCACTGCAAACGATCGTTTGGGAAAGAAGGTTCGTGTGAAATGTAATCCCACAGATACTATTGGCGATCTAAAGAAACTCATCGCTGCTCAGACCGGCACAAAGTGGGATCGAATTATTCTGAAAAAGTGGTACAATGTCTACAAGGATCCTGTCACCCTGGCTGATTATGAGATCAAGGATGGCATGAATTTGGAACTTTATTACAAATAGACTTATTCGTATTTTTCGATGAATTGTTATGAGACCTTATCATTTTTTATTAAATTTCTTTTGAACTTTGAATGAATCACTGATTGCGCAATATGGCGCTTAATTTTAACCCTTTCATTTTTGAGGTCCTATGTTTCGGCCATTCGCTTGCTATGTAAGTTGAAATCAATAAGCTGCGAAGATTGTTCATTTTTAGTTGTCTTATCTTTTTAGTTGGTTTAACATGATGTGTAAAATGGGTATTGTTTTTCTTCTGCTAGAACAGCGATGCTTATCGTTCTAACTCCTTTTGCTCGTATTGGTTGTCTTAATAACTCAAATTTTCTAGTATTAGTGTTTTCTAGTACTCGTGTAGATAGTGTTGCGCTATTGCGACATACCGGGAGGGGGGTTGACAAGCACAGTAGTTGCGCCATCGGTATCTGCGCGCTTTATAATCCATTTTGCTCAACAGTTATGTTATACATTCAAAATCACGAGATTGCTTCAGTGAAGGTATTTACAGCTGACTACTTAAATAACGTAGTAGTACCTTTGTTATCTTGGCAATTCCAAAAACGTGCAGCCTGCTGTTGAAACAAAGGCTGCACATTGCACCGGTTTTTACATCTTTTATGATGTAAGTGCAAGGATAAGACACGTATGCAGAACTGAACAAAGCATACCTTGGTTAATCTCATGCTTTCAGTCCCTCATTCTCCCGACTACCGATTGAGGTTGAAGATGGCGGGACATGTTCAGATCATGCTCATTACTAATGTTTTATGTACCGGCTGTCGTCACCAGCCCAATTGAAGTTATCTCTAACACAATTTGGTGAATTGAATTAGGCAAAATAGTCGTACCTGGTGGAAATGCTCCTATAATTATGGAATCTATGTTATTACTTAATAGCCTATGGTATTCGAAACGTAAAGAAAGCAATTTTTACTCACCTGGCTTCAAATCTAAACCTGAGCACAGTTCATCACAATATAGTCTTAAGCACAGAAAAACCGCTCCCAACTTGAGATCTCAAACGATAATTTCAAGTTCTTCCCTGTCTATTGAATCCTAAAAATTTTAGTTATCATTGAAAGGTTAAATATTAGCCTTAGCAACGATTATATAAACCCTGGCTTCTACGGCCTTTACTTAAAAAATTGTACATTCTTATATAGTCAGATTTTATACACAATAAACTACCCATTTACTTTTAATACGCATTGGTTTGTCCGAAACGAATAAATGATCATGTGTGACAACACTCATTTAATGGAAAGTAAAATAGAGGTATATATTACAAGGAATTGTGAGCATTTCACCTCAAGCAGGTTCAATGAACTCGTGAAATAGAATGTGAGATTATTGCGCTTCTTGGGATACTTCTGGAGTGGGAGAACTAGAAGTGATAGAACTTGGATTCAGGATCTTTTTTGGTGGAAGAGCCTTTCGTTTTCGCGCACCGGTTACGGTCATTGTTGTAGTGATTTCACTCGTTCCTAAGTCCTTCATGAATTTTCTGAATAGAATCCAGATATATCGCCGTAATGGGGACCGTCACAGGACAGACAGCCGCACAGCCTAAGCAATTGTTCACAATCCACCCATAAACATCCATGCCTCTGACGTGACCAATTGGAGTGACGTACATATTACTCAGCAAGTGATTGGATGACGATAAGTGTGCGCATTTACGCGAGGAAGGCTATCATGTGATTTGATGAGTCATTCTAGTCAGGCACTGGGACAAAAGGGGAAGGAAGCGGGAGGATGGAACTTATTGATTAACGCTTTTCATTGGAGAATTTTGCACGTCGGATTACCGGGACTATGATTCAGCAGGGAAGACTCAAGTTGCTGAAGGATCTGTGGGTACACAATCCTAACACTTAAAATACTCGACCAAACTTAGTGGTTGGTCAGGTTGTGCATGCAGAGGGTTTCTCGGCTAATCAACTGTTGATGTTTATTCAACTAATCTTAAATGTATTCAATTACCAATTTTGAGTGCTGTGAACATAATTTCAATATACGCTATATTTGCCATACATCTCCTTCTTCTATGTCATTGATGGAGTTTAACAACTTTGAGAACATTTCTATACAGGGGTATTTTGCCACAGAGATTACTGAGGATAAGTCAAGTCATATTCGAATAGCAATCCTCTACGAATCTTTATTTTCTATGACAGGTTAAATAAAAGTTATTACCGACCATAACAGGGTAACATCGAACCACGTAGGAAATGAAGGACAGACGGATTTAACAATTGCTCTGCTGGAAAAGTGGACTAATGCCCTCTTATGGAAGCACCTTCACTAAGATATTCTGTGACTAGACAAAGGTAAAGGGGATTTGCTTCTTGGTCTTCTGGGAAAACTCAATAATGCTTCATTCGATAAGAAAATAAATAGAACTCCAAGACTTATTTCAATAAGGCCAATTTAGTTTGAAAGGAGAAGAGTCCCTGATACTGTCATGCGAATAGTTTAGACAAATTAATTAATGCCTTGGAATGATAATACCAAAATGGTACGAATTTATATTTCAAAATATTTGAAAACTGCTAAAAGTCAATTTAACCTTGACCTACCATAAGATTAACTTCAACTCTGGCATATTAAGCCTAAAGCTGACACCTTTATTTCTGGGGGGAGGCACGCGTAAGCAACCTAAATAAGAATTGCAAATCACCGCCACATGTTTACTAGATCGGAAAAGGTGGGCTTCATACACTTTATAAATTGTTTTTCTTTGCAATTTCCGTTTTTAATATTTTAAGCTAAGCAACTGTTCTCCATCCACTATACTCAAACTACATAAATAAACCAAATAAAGGAACACTTTTCAATACTTTATTCTGCCCAATATCCACTGTATTTTTTTAAAGCCAACACGTTGATAAAGAATGAAATTTCTTAAAATGATCCACTTTTGGCTCACTTAGGAATCAATTCCGCTTAACTTTAAAACCATCAATACGTTTTAATAATTAAATCCTTTAGGGCATGACAGAAATGAATAAACGTAGGTTCACTTTTTTAATCATCGTACAGGTGAAAATTTTACCAGGTGTTAAATTGGTGCTTTACGCTCAATTTCATAAACAACAGCCCTTTAATTAAAAGTATATTCACGCATGATAAGAGTTGGATCAACAAGTATACATTTAAATGATCATCTTTAGTTTGTTAAAAAAGCATTAAAGTCCTTTTGGTGAAGAACCCTCTGGCATTCATCTTGGGGAGAGGGTTATCTTCAAGTCGCTTTCTTGCTGACAGGCTTTAATTCTGCCACTGTCAGTTTTAACACCACTATTCGTCAGTCTTAATTTGACCATTTCACAGTTATTTTACTATCCAGAAAAGAGTGAGACTTGACGTTAGATGAAGGATGATTTCGAGAGTACTTGCACTTGATTCAATTTGCTGTTCACATTGTGCAAAATCTTGGTCTTCAAATAAAATTGTTTAGTGCAAAAAAATAATACAAATTATGCATACTTGTTAGTTGATTATCGAGAGGTTTACTCAACAAAACCCCGAATATGTGGAGTAATTAAAACGCACCAGGCTATAAGAAATTACCAGGCATTCAAATATTCCAAAATATGTCCGGTTATTGTCATATAACGGAGCGCAAAAGCTTTTGTTTAAAAGCAACGTTATTGAAGGATTAGCACAGATGTGCGTGGTTCGGTACAAGTAGAGACCACCAAGAAGTGTCAAGCATAACGCAAGACCTCCAGAGGGTTAATTAATTAATTCTCGAGAAATTTTGAATTAAGCCTGAAAATTCGTATTGATAATTCGATTTCAAATACAACACTATGATATATGTTCAGTTCTCGATTATTTTTCGAGAAAAGGTAGCCATAATCAAATCAAGCAAACAAACTGCATATTGTATATCTGACAATTTATTTGTTGCGGACATTATTCCAGTTATGGTAAGTTACTTTCTTATAGTAATAAACCGACGTTTGTGATAATGTATATTTTCAAATTGGGGTGTGAGATAGACTTACCTCCTCGTGGTGCACCCTGGGCAACATAATCATACGGCAAAAAAGTCTATCAACCGGCAGTTGACTTCTTACTTCAAACTACCATCACCCCACTCTGTCATATTCGACCCCTACCACAGTACTCATC